GGCTGCAGGACTCTTCTGCTTCTGGCTGGCGAGACGAAGCTTCCACAACGCACCTTTCGGCAGAAGGGGCATCCGGACCTGGGCGATGAAGCGATTGGAATATTTTTTTGGGGGGTATAGGGTTTGATTAGTTATTGGGTACAAGGTGCTTAGTTTCTGGGTATAAGGTTTGCATAGGGCTCGGGTGTTGGAGACTATATAATCCTGGGACCATTTTCGATTGGTGTTGTGACGGACCGGATCTAAGCACCCTAATTAGTTGGAAGCCCGGAGCTCAACCCAAGTGTGTACCTCGATCGGGCTTCGAAGACAAGGCCTTTAGGTCTAAATATATCAATCCCCAACCCAAGTGTGTACCTCGGGCTTCGAAGACAAAGCCTCTGGGTCTATCAAGCGCCCAACAAAACTCCTCGACAACGAATTTCTTTATGATTGCGAACCCAAATCGCAAAGTGATGCTCGGCGCAACCTCAGGTTATATAGATCATCTTTTCGGCGGACGTCTTCGCGAGGATCGCATCGCTGCCCGGGAACAAGATCATGTGTGCAAAGGACACGGGAAACAACAGTAAGTTAGTATCAACACAGTATATGTATACATCACCTCTATCATGACTCTGCGCACACGATTAGTAGGAGCAAAAGCAAGCGTGAACTGCCGCAAAAGTCCCAGACTCGCGTAGGATCTCAGGAATGGTGCTAGATGCCAGCGAGGGAGGCTATGGAAATTCGACCCCAAAGAAACCCTATACTAGATCTAAGGAGGTTTGTTAGGTAACTAAATTAGATAGAGTTTTCTATCTAGGAAACATACCAAGTCAGAACACAAGTCTGGAACGTTCCGATATAATCCTGCTCTATACCCTGTATCTGCAGCCTATGCATCTGTACAGTTTGATCGACTCCCACCGCACAAGTTGTTCAGCAACTTGGGTTCCCTTTCGATGCCATGTACATGATGCCAGCGCAGCATCTAAAGATATCCGGCTTCGCGAACATCGGAACAAAACAACCGGCATTGCTTGCTGCTCAGCTCGTGGCGCTGGCCAACTCAGACAGCGCACTACCAATCATATCCCGGATGCCTTCCCTCATCTGTGTCACTTCGATGCACTCGTGATCGTAAGCCCCCTCCGTGAGGTAGCGGTCCTCGAGCATGCAATCCAAGTACATCGCGAACATCTCGCAGGCTTTCATCACCACAGACATCTTCTGTGCCCAATCCAAATCGCGAGACACACCAACGGCACAGGTGTAGTTCACGATCTCCTTCTTGTCGCACTTCCTCAGAACTCCAGTGCCGCACCTCGTCCAGTAGTGGGTCTGGCCATGATGAGTGGTCTCTTTCACTTCGCCCTTCATCTTGAACTTCCACTGCGCTGTGCACGTGGCATTCTCGAACTTGTGGGCGAAGCTCAGCATCTGATCTCTCAAGTCTTCGAGCTTCTCAACCTCGAAGTACTTCTCAAGGGCCTGCTCCACGGTCAAGACCGGCGCACGTCCCGAGGAGCTTGCCGGAACCCTGGACCTCCGACCCCTGCGCTTTGCCGCCGGCTCGGGCGTCTCCTCTTTGGATTTGTCGGCCTTGCTTGCTCTTAGCCTTGGGCTTTGCCGCTACCTTTGCCTTCGCTTTCGCCTTCGCGCCGGCTTTCGCCTTCGCGCCGGCTTTCGCCTTCGCTTTCGCCTTCGCCTTCGGGCCGGCTTTCGCCTTCGCTTTCGCAGGCTCCGCGGCCTCCTCCGTCTCCGGAGGCTCCGCACCATCATCTTCGGCAGGCGGCTCTTCATACGTGTGGCCGCGTTTGAGCACGGCCCTCTTGCGAGACACACGACCCTTTCGAGTCTTCTTGGCCTTTCGCTTCTTCTTGCTCTTCTTCGCCGACTTGGCTTCCTCAGCATCAGCACCATCGTCGCCGTCGTACTTCCGCTTCTTCTTGAGAGATGATCGCAAGATCAATTGAGACCGTCTCGTGATCGGAGCCGGCTTCTTGAGGGCCAATCGGGTACACAAACCAGTAAACACAATCTCTCTATTAGGGAGTCCTTTTATGCCCACCTATTGATCATAAGCAGAACCCTTAACTAACGAAACCCATGTACGTGAAGCCTGTATAGTATATAAAAACCAAACATACAAATCCTTTTGTACGAAGCCCATACATAAGCAAACCAACACCCTCTACATAAGCAGTTGCTTAATCATTCGAGAAGAAAGCCTCGCCGTCGCTCTCAGTGAATTCGGCAGGACCTGGGACAGCATCGTCGCCGTCGCCCACTGGATTGGAAACTGGCGCTGCGTCGCCCACTGGGCTCTCAACTGGTGCTGCTGGAGGCACTGGATTCGAAACCGGCGTTGTGCACGGCATGGGATTCGACACTGAAGCATGCGTCCCAGGATTGGCATCTGGCAGCGGCGCAGCTGCATCGGGCATGTCTGTATCGAGTGCCTCGGCACCAGCCATAACATCCCAGGGCTGGGTGTCGTCAGAAGCGCTGCCGAAAGACGAATGGTTACTCGCCGGTCCTGCTTGCATCTTGGGGCTCCGGGCTTGGATTCAGGGTGATTATCGGACAATAACAAACAAGGTACTTGTGTATATAATCTGTATTTATAAATTACTCAAAGTCCCCGACAATTCTTGAACGTCCTGTAGATTCGGAAGGAGGGGCTCTGCAAGCGGTCTCCGTGCTTCGGGACCTTATTTAGGCTCCACCCTAGATCGAGAGCTTTGCAGACTTGATTAATGTCACTAACTCCGGCGACAATAAACAAAAACCTTGGCTGAAGCTACCAGCTCACTGCAACGACAATCGTTCCTTCAAAGCTGCCACTCTAGCCTTCATTGCGGCACGATCTTGCTCCGAAAGGCGAGAGCCTTCAAATTTAGAAAGTCGGAAACTCGATCATGCACGCAGACCTAAGCTGATTGCACAACACGAGCTCTTGTTTAGGCTGCGAGAATGGCCTGCTGAAGACGAAGGAGCCGGACTCGGGGTAGGGGTCCAGGTCTTCTTGCCCGGAGTCTCCTTTTATATGGACAGTGTCTTAATTGGGTATAGGCGTTATATAAATTTACTTAGGGTCCGTAAGGTTGGGATTTTTGTAACAACTTGGTGTCCTTTGCTGGGTTCGAAGGCAGCTCAGGCTCGGATTCAGAAGAAAAGCTTGGCATCTTTGAGATTGCAGGGCTGGGCGTTGCTGGTCCGGGTGATGCGAACTTCTGTTTCGGCTCCGGGGTGCTGGCATGGTGGGCTATGCATGCTTGGGGCGTAGCTACCGGGGCACCGCCAACATTCAAGGAAGGAACAGCAGTGGCTTTGCTGGGGATCGAAGGCTCTGCAGGCTTCGGGGCAATTGCAGGGGCAGGCTCATCGGAAGGGTCTGGGATGCTTTCTGTAGCCTCTGGAGCGCCCTCGGCTTCTTCCTCATCTTGTGCCGCATCCTCGTAAGCATCCTCATCCGATTCCTGCACGACTCAAACTGATCGCAAGAAGCTTAAGACCCCAAACATCCGAAGCGAAACCCTTTAATTGGTGGCAAACCCGGCCTGACAGGATTCTTCCGCGACCTTCTTCCGGGCATTCATGGCATCCACAACAGCCTGCAATAGAGAAAAATGAGGGTGGCTGTGGTGACTTATCTAGCACGGGATTAGCCGGCCTTTTTCAAGGGAGCGAGGGTTCTCAATAGGGTTGCTTCAGGGCTTGTGTAAGTGCTAGCAGAATCCGGAACAAAATAATTCAATATTATGATATGTATGCAAGCCCAAGCCAGCCTGAAGGCCCGGGTCCAATGCCAAGCAAAGCTCTTGGAAATCAGGATCCTGAGAGAAAGAGAGAGAATTTGGCTCGCCAAGCTTCAACGCACACATGAACCTAAAATATTTGCTTATCTCGCATGCTGCCGAAGAGCCTTGCTCACTTCGGATCGTCGAACTTTTGCTTTGACGAACGACAAAAGCTTCCGCACGTGGATGGCTTCTGATTGAATCAAGCCCTGGATGTCGCTCCCGACGCGCTTGTTCACAGTGAAAATCTTGCTCAACTCGTTTCGAAGGTCGCCCACACTGGGCAGTTTCTTCTGGTGGTTTTCCGACATGCTATGCAAAATCGGAAGCAAGAGAGGAGCATTCAATTTGCACACGTTGTTGTCGCACGACAGGCCGCTGCGGGGATGCATGCAACCATGACCATCGCGCAATCTCTGTCGCACATCAGGGCTTCCGTCCCAAGCTACATGGATGTCCTCGATATTCAGCCCCGGCTCTGCAGCCTCACCAGTAAACTCAGCGGCCTGCGATTTGTTATTTCGAGGCATGGCCACCAGGATGATAAGAAAAACCTACGCCCTTGAGCTTACGAAAAATCGCGGTAGCAAGCAGCATCTCCTCACTGATCGTTTCCAGTCTTGGCTGAACAACATGCACGGCTGAGACCTCGACCGTTCATTCACAAGCCATCTGCGGCACGCTGTCGCTTCGGCCATTGTCTCGCTGAAGCTTTATTTTACCATATTTACAACATCTGGATTGCTAGACTGTGCTTATAAGCCAATGTTAAAACCCATGAACTGATGAATCGTGCTCGTGTCTTCCTACGAAAGATGAACCGGACTCGTGCCTTCCTACGAGAGCCTCCTCCATCTTGTGTGAGCCTGCGCGAGGCCTGTGGAAGCTTCGGATTCAAGGTCTTATTGGTTGGTTTCCAACGTCATAAATTGAGAAACTAGACCTAAGATAAGTTATCATATGGGATGAAGAAGGATGCCCCAGCAAACCCGGGGTTTCAAATCAAAACACGGGGTCTGCGGGACATGCTTTCGAAACACGGGGTCTTCGAAACAACCCGACTATTTTTCAGGCTTTGGATCCCCAGGTGTATATATATATATATATATATATATATTAACGTATATTAATATTAATATCTATTAACATATATTTGTATTTATATATATATATATTATATTCGTAAGCCCAAAGTTTTTTTTTCGAAGCTGCCAGGTGCCAACTCTCCGGACTGCTGATCTGCTAATCTGTGGCTACCCCTACGCTCTCTGCCCTATCTTGGGCACGAGTGGAGAGTTGCGAGACGTCCCGATGCTGGCACCTGGGGGCCTAACCGAGCAGAAGCTAAAGACATATTTGCTCTACTTCGCAGGTTCTTGTGATATGGGGCCTGAACAGTTACTAAGACCATTCCTCGATGTTCCTGAGTTTGCTTATAGTAAACTACCCCCCAAAAAACAGCCTTGTTCTAAAAAAATATTTATTAAGACCCCTGAACCGCATGCATGGAGCTCGCAGAGAAGCTCAGGTACTCGTCCATGGCGCTGGGTCTCTGGCCGAGTATGCCGACGAATCGATCACGCCCTGGATTCTGGGGACCTTCAAACGCTGGATTACGTCTGACCCAGCACAGCCCACGAAAGGCGCGACAGCAATGGCAAGTCGGAAAGTTGTGTTTAATGATCGATTGGACCTGGTTTTGGCACGGGCAGCCTTTGGCGAAGCATCGCAGCCACAACTGGTGGAGTTTGGTGCCCGATGCTGGGCTCTTGTTAGGAAGTGTAGTTTAAGTGTCCATGATAAGGGAACCCTATTGCTCCATTATCTACTCTAGAACCTTATAACGGTAAATTTCGTTAAGTTCCGTAACAAGAACCCAGGATATGTTTTGCGACTGGCCGGCGGCGTCCAGTGCGATCGTCGTCTCGGAGATCCCAGACGTTTATTGCTTTGGAGGACGTTTAGAGTTTAGAGGTGTAGGGTTTAGTGCTTGGGGTGCTTGTCGTGCTTGTTGCTTTGAAGGGGAGTTCAGAACAAGTGAGGGAGGGCCGAATATCGTTACACACGTCAAGTCCTGCCATTGCTGAAAGAGGTCGCAGTCCACATTCCCAGCGCTGGTAGCTCTGGGCATCGAAAGACTGTTCACGCAAGTGGTTCGAAGCATCGATTGGTCTGCTGCTTGGTGTGATTCGTGTCGGGGTGTTCAGATGGGTGGTTGTCACAATTGTGGTCCCTTCTTGGGTCCCTAGTATAACACGGCACCTAATACTTAGGGTACCCAAAAAGGGACCATAATGTTGAAAACCACCCAGATCGTTCACAATCTTATTTGTCATTTCTTTACAATCGCACCAACAGAGAGAGGAAAAACAACCCATACCCGATTGTATTTCAGTTTTCTGTCCCCCATAACATCTAACCCTCTTTAATCCGTATTGACCCCTGCTCCGTTTAGTGTTCTCAAGAACTACATTTTGTGTTTCAGGCTTCATTGTATTTCAAGACCCAGGGCATTTCAGAAGTCGAGTTCGGTTCTAAGGGCATACACCATCTTTAATTCATTACAAGCCCATCAGCCTTCCTTGAGCTTTCTTCTGTCCGTTTAACCCCAAATCCTCAAACCCTAAATCCCTAAGCCCCTAAACCCTCTAGACCCTAACCGTCAATGGAAAACACGAGACTAAGGTAGAGCAGATGCCGGTGGCGGAAGTCCGCGAGTTTCATTATCCGGAACCTGGGCTCTCGTTTATCGATAACGGACCTTAGGGTTTAGGCTTTAGGGTCTGCAGTACGGTTTAGGAGTTCAGGGCGTATAAGGGCTTACACTAGGGTTTAACGGGTTCTTGTATAGGGTTTAGGGTTCAAAGTAGAGTTTAGGGCTTAGGTGGGTTCTCATTTATCACAGATTACGTTGCTAAGATAAGGATTGTAGAGCTTTCAACCTGGCCTGACATAAAAGGGACACTTACGGTAAATACGATGCTTCCCTTATCTACTTGTGGTGACTTACCGAAACCATCAACCTAAACTCCCAAACCGGTAAACTTTTCTAACCCCTAAACCCTATAAACCTTTAACAGGAACCCCTATAGAACCTATAAACCCCTACAGTTCCTTAAGACTATAAACCCTTAAAGGAACCCCTATAAACCCCCAAAAAATCCCTTACAGTTCCAAAAGACAGAACCCAGGATTTGCAGGACTTCTCCGCGGTGCTGCAAATCCCTTGGGACTTCGGACTCGTTTCTTTTCAAGAGGTGCCTTGACCGACAGACTCAGAGCCTCCAATATCCCTTAAGGAATATACCTAGGGTTCCTTTAAGGGATCTAGAAGGGATCTATAGGGTTTAGGGGAATCTAATATCCCTTAAGTAAGAATTATACCTTAAATTATAGTAGGATTCCTAATATGATTTAAGGTATATTCCTTAATTAAGGGATATTGGAGTCTCTGGGGAGTTTCTGCACATCCCAGCGGTTTAGGGCTTCGGGGGGGTTTAGGATTCAGGGCTGAATGAGGAATGAGAGTTGAGTGTTTAGGGAGAGTTTAGGGTTTGGAGGTTGTAATCCATCGGAAACTCTGACGAAAGCTTCCTCCGAGACTTTCCCAGCCCGCATGTGCTTTTAGTTGTCTTATTGACAAGCTTAAGTTTACCAAAGCCCAAGCATGATTCAAAGTGTGAATTTGAGAAACCCTAAACCCCTAAACCCTGCAGGTTCTCGCTTTGGGTCTGCCAGTGCTGATGCCCTCAAGTCAATACATGCACGCGTTGATCACAACTGCCGCATGGCTGCAAACCATAGCGACTTCTGCGGCCGAGAGTACCAAGCAACCTGACAGTAACCTGACAGAGCCGAGAACTCTTACAGTAACCTTTATAGGAGCCTTTATAGAACCCCTTTTCAATTGTGAATGCAAAGTCGGGCTCAGGGTTGCATTGTAGGAACAGAAGGATTGGGTAGGAGGAGTTGAGGATGTCGGCGTCTCTTGGTCTTAGTCTTTCTGCATGGATGCGGGGAGTGTTTGCATGCTGGCGCAGTTCTGGTTTAGGGTTTAGGGCATTAGGCTTCAGGGTTTAGGGTTTTGGGATTTAGGGCTTTCAGGTTCAGGGTACGTAGGAAGGGAGTGGGTTTGAAGCTGCTGTAGCTGCAGCTGCCGCAGAAAGGAGTCCCAAGTCATGTTTGCAGACCACCAGACCCTCAACCCGACAGGTGTCAAAGCCTGCAATGACTGCAGCCCTAAAGCCTGGACCCTAAACCGACATGCCGAGAATCTCCAGTAGCCGAAGCCTTTAAATCCCAACACCCACAGTTCCTAACCTGCGTGCCTCGAGCCGTAAACCATCGTAAACGCCTACGCCGCCACCAGGTTTTCTTGGCCAGGTCCAACCTGACGGACTGGAACGAGAAGTGGAAGAGGCCGCGAGACCTACATCAAAGCTTCCCGGGCTTGGGGTTCAGGGTTTATTAGAGTTTAGGTTTGTTGGAGGTCATACGGCTTCAAAGAGTCTGCATTGCTTCGGTTGAACAGGGATGTGGGTAGGTTTGTATCAGGACTTTGGTGAGTGGAAAAGGGGTTGAGGATAGGTGGGCGTAATTTCAAAACCCACAAATCCAACCCCCAAACCCAGCCCTAAACCCTACCCTAAACCTAAACCTCCAAATCCAACCCTAAACCCTAAACCCCCAAATCCAACCCTAAAGCCTAAACCTCCAACTCCAACCCCGCAATTTCCCCAAAGCCCTCGAGAGAACCCTTATCCCGAAGCCTCCCAGCTCCTAAGCCCCGACGCCCGAAAACTAATATCCCAAGCTCCAGTGAAGCCTGCCCTGATCCTAGGGGTACTTAGAAATATTTTAAAATACTTGGTTATTATAATCCCCAAGAAACAGCTAAAATTACAATTTTTGCTAGGGTTCTAAGTTCAGTATAGATAATACAAAACTAAACCCCACACTCTAGAAAAGCCGTATAGGATCCTTCTGGAAACCATGTGAAAGCTCGTTGAAGCCTCAAAAAACTGGGCCATTGGAGTACCATACTTTATTGCTTTTTGCTTAAAGGAACCAGTATGAAATAAAAGTGTATGCTTCTTTCTCCCTGGTTACTCAAAAGCCCAGAAAAACTGGCGAGCCCGGAGCCCAGGCGGTTCCTTCAACTGGTCCCCGACATGTGGGAGGGCTTCGTGCCTCCCGCATCCAACCGGACCTTGGGGATTGCAGAGAGGCCCATGAATTCTGAGGGTTTAGGATTTCAGATTCAGGTTTCAGGGTTGAGGGTTTAGAGCTTGAGCTTTCGGCATTGAGGGTTTATTTTTATAGTTTCGGTCGGTAGGCTCCAAGAGTCCAACTGGTAGGGACTTAGATGCCAAAAAACTCTCTGGGGCATTGACACCCGACTACTTAGGTACTCGGACCTCTCTGAAGGGTATTTGTGCCATCAGTTAAAACCCCTATGCCATCAGTTAAAACCCCTATGTATCCCCAAACCCCTTGATCCTCATAAACCCTAGGCCCTAAATCCCTAAACCCATGCTTTGCTGCAGGGTGTGTTCGACTGTTGGGCTTGGCGCTTTAGACTGTTGGTGTCCTAGGGCCTGCCTGGGCTTTTGGAGATTTAGGGGGTTTTAGGGTTTAGGGTGTTTGGATCCGGATTGTAGGGGCCATGGCTTCGGGTTTTGGAGATCAAGTTGTGGGCAGGTTTGGTGCCTTGAGTTTCGAGTTTAGGGATCTTGCTGCACAAGATTTCCGGCTCCTGGGACAGCAAGGTTTGGGGATTGGGTCTATGAGTAGTTCACGCTATAGGGCCTTTAGGGGGTGTCGGGCGTCGCGCGCAAGAATGATGAAATGTAAGTAATGCAGGGCAAGGAGACGAAGAAGAGCATTGGAGACGTGTGTCCGCGTGTGCGTCCTTACGAATCATCTGAAGCATCCCTCAGGATAGTGCTCGTACTCTGCTCAGAACACCGCACCGGGCAAGTTGTACCAACCAAAGCTTGAAATCCACACACCCAAACTCTAAACCTCACCTTTGCAACGCGCAGGCCGGAATTGAGGCTGTCGCTTGATTGATATCTTGTTGCCGGAGGGTTGCTTTGCGGGTCGTCTATTGAGGTGTTTAGGGGACTCTGTGTTGGTGGCGAAGGGACCTTGTCCGTGGAGCGATTCCGGAATCTTCAGCGCAGGCTTTCGGATGCCACCGGAATGCGGACGTGTCTATATGAGAAACCCAGCTACAACTCCCTTTCCCACAAGCCCTGGACACCAAAGCCGCAACCTAAAGCCAAACGGCCATAAAATCCCAAGCTCCGTATGTCCCACCCAACACTGCATCCCAGGCCCTTGAAGCGCGGCAAAAAGAGAGACAGAGAGAGAGAGAGAGAGGAAAAGGCTTCAGACAGTGTGACAAGAAGAACAAGAACACGTCTGCACTTTGTCACACAACAGGGTCAAGGACTTTGCGATTTGGGGTGGGTTTCCCCGTTTTAGGCTCTCGTCGTTTGGGGTCTTTGGCTTGAGGTCAAAGTGTGGGAACCCTCGGAACCCAGATCTTTCCGCCATATGATGCATGCATGCAGGCACGCTGCAGTGCAGAAGCTTCAAGAAACGAACCACTTCACAATAGAAGCTAAAGCAGCTAGGGGTGAACAATGGTAGACACTTAACCCAAAACCGAGCTCTAGAAATGAGCATCTCAGGGTGGAGCAGGTGTCATCGTGGTGGAGATACACCGTACCTGGGCAGCGGCTGAGGGGGTCTGGGTTGGACGTCGGGTGGCTGAAGACTAGATTTCATGTGACAGATAGGGGCCTTAATTCTTGCTGCTTGTACTATCCCTGAGGGCCTCCTCATCACAACCAGACTAGAATATACCCAGCACATTATTCTCATCACTGAGGCCCCATATTAGGGGCCGGATTTGGAGGGTTTGGGTTCAAGGTTTTCTTCTGGCATGAGCCTTGTGAGAGGAGTTTGGTGCTTAAGTGGTTGGTTCTTAGTCGGGTCGCCTGTGGTGTAGAATTCTTGTTTTCAACTCAAAGCTGTAAAGCTCCAAACTTCGAAACTGCCCGCTACCAGATTCCAAATTTCGTCTTGAAGTGGAAGCTACTAGAGAACCTTACAGTACCCTCAACGAACCCGTAAAGGGAACCCCTGACAGGAACCAAGCTTGTCTCATTCTTACACACTGAAACTAAACAACTATGAGGTTAGGATAGGCGGGTCTCACTTCCAAGCCCGAACCCTAAGGGCAGCCTAGATTCCAAGCTTCAGAGACTCAAAAGCTCAGCCGGCAAGACTTTGCTCCTTAGCAGATGGTGCTTTTCCCCGAAGGCTTGAAGGTATGTGCGTTTCTCAAGAACCATGGGTGTCTGAGTTTGGGGTTCTGGCCACAAGCGCACTGCTGTTTTGGGGGACCAGGAGTTCGAGACGAACCGCTGGGTCAAGCGGTTTCGTGACCTGACGCAAGGGTCGGGTAACCAGGTTCTGCTGGTTCGAGAGGTTTCAGACTTTAGAGACTGTAGAGTTTGAGCTTCCCAGGACGCTTTGCACCCATAACCACCCTTAACCGCAGAACGTTAGCTTCTTCATCTCATCGAAACTTTGTTCAGGTCCTGAATCATACATGCTGGGTTCAAGACCTAAAGTTCCAAAGACAGAATCTGAACCTTCAGTGCCCGAGCCCTGTTGAAGAGAGTTGGTGAAAGTTCAACTTCTGTTCTTTTTTCCGGCACGCGCCTGACAAGAACGCCGATCTTCGGAGTTTCGGGTTTGGGGTTTGAGGAAGTTTGCGGCTCAGGGTTTGGGGTCCAGGCTTGAAAGTTTAGGGTTAACTGTTGCGTGGGTATGTGGGTTAAGTTGGAGTTGCTTATTTGGGTGGTTGTCATTTTGTGGTCCCTTTTCGGGTCCCTATCATAATACGGCACCCATTATTTAGGGTACCCTAGTTTTCACAACTACCCATTTATGAACATCTAAGTCTCAGGGCTGGTTGTCTCAGCATTCTGGCTCCAGAGCCAGTGCTTCCGAGACTGAACCCTCCCAGTTTCGTGGGTCCGCCTTGCGCGACGAGTCGCTTTACGGCTCTTCGGAACTATGTTTCATTTGCTTATGTGAAAACTTAACGGGCTTGATAAGAATAGCATTTTTACCCTGGTTCCAAGGGCGGCTAAGGTCGAGAAATCATGGCGACGATCGGCAGGGCCTTCATATTCCTCAGCGTCCTCTTCCTGGCAGATGCCATGCGCCTTGGGTCGAGAAAGGCTGCTGCTTGAGCTCTTTCTCGGGCGCTTTGTTGCTCCAACCCCCCAAAAAAGGCTTAAGGTCTTAGAGTCCTGCTCTGATTGATAGCCGAACTTCCCCAACGTCAGGTTCAAGAAGGGCGCGAAGCAGCTGGTGACGCTTCAAGAGCCTACCAGGAGACCTCCAGTCTCTTTGCAGCCTGCAGGCCGGAATCTTCTGGAATCCGGCAAAGACCTTCGTAGCTTCAGTCGTGGGAAGGGCCTTCGAAAAGCTGCCGGGGCCCCGGCGACGCCGGCTCTGCTGGCCGCCCAGCCCTTGAAGTGGATGCACACGCCGAAGTGTGGGACTTCATTTCTGAATGTATTAATCCATCTCCCTGATGTTTGCCCGGGAGTAGACGACTCTTTCCAAGTGAATCTTCACAGCTGAAGCAGTAAATGTTGAGCTTTTCGTTGGGCTGAGTTAACCTCCCGTAAAACTGAGCCCGCAAGCGTTCTTTTGCATATATTGGCAACTAAGGAATAAAGAAGTCATGGGTGACCTTTTCGAGATCAAGTTCGAAGATGCTTGCCCCTATGTCTGCGACGGAACGAAGTTCGTTTGCAATGCGAAGCCTTTGGGACTCTTTCACACAACGCACGTGGGCGTCGGACAGCAGTATGAGTTCCTGAAAGGCGACTGCTTCCAAAAGGTTCAGAGTTTCGGGTTTAAGGGTTTAGGATTTAGGGTGCAGAGCCTGGGGTGGCCCTGCTTATAGCCCCAAACCCCTAAGCCCCTAGCCCCTAAACTTTGAAATCTCCTATCACCCCCCAAGAATCCTAAAAGTCGCAACGGCGCCATGATGCAACCCTAAACCCGAAAAGAGTTAGGGTTTTTTTGGAAGCCAAGCTAAGGGATGGGGAGTCCACGATTACAGGGCAGCAGATGGACACAGAGCCCAGATCCTTACGCATTTACATATACATATGCATATACAAATACATATACGTACACCTGCATATACAAATACATATACATCTATGCATGTACATATGCATCTGCATGTACATGTATCTATACACACATACATATCTCTATATACACATGTATATGTATATGTACGCATACATCTACAGAGAGACAGAGAGAAAGAGACAGAGAGAGAGAGAGAGAGAGTGAGAGAGAAAGAGAGAGAGAGAGAGAGAGAGAGAGAGAGAGGGAGAGAGAGAGAGAGAGAGAGAACAATCCTGGCATCCCTCCCGCTACCTGTACCGGTGCCACAGACCTTGTTACATATTTTGCGTGCGTGTGGGTGTGAATGTGTGTGTGTGTGTGTGTATATGTATATGTATATATATATATATATGTAATATACACACGCTTGAACACATATAGTTACACGGCCGTTTTTGCAGCACGCATGCTTAGGATGTCGGTCTGTTTTGCTGGCATCTGTGCAGGTACTGATACATATAATGTATGTCAGAAATGAGTTTATCTTGCCGTTTCTGCGTCTGCACTTGTGCGTGCCTGTCTGTGGTTGTGTATTGCAGTTTAGGGTTCAGGGTTCAGCATGGATGTAGTTCTTTGAACCGGAGAAGGTCATCTTGTGACCATGATGCGCGATCCGATCCAGCGCATCCTTTCTGCTTACGCCGACCAAGAATGGTCACATGGGTCGGAATTCAAAGACATTGTTACCTACGCACATTCAGAGGCCCACGCTGTGACCTGCCAGATCATGCGAGATGGGATCATTGATCCTCCTCCTGCCTCATGCCGAAACTTGAACGAAACGGATGCGGAACAAGCAGTGACCAGGATTCGTGAAGGATTCGCCTTTGTTGGGCTGGTGGAGGAGAGTTGTTTAGGTTCCTAGGTTTTTTGTTGAAGACTGCAGCTGGCGGTAGGCCATAAAGGGGTACTGTATGTCTTATGCTTCACAGCACAAGCAAGAGGAATGGGACCTCTCCATCTGCCTCCTCCACCGTATGTTCGGAGGTGATTGCCTGGCCTCGGATTTCATGGACAGCCGGCCCACATTTTCTGGAGATACGACGAACCACGAGTACAACACCTCTGTGCTTGACGGCTATGATGACCCGGTCGACCGGCTCCTCTACAACGGGGCCAAGGAGCGAAGCGGTTTAGGGCTAAGGTTTAAAGGGTTTAGGAAGCTCTCTAAGCTCGAACATCGGGACTAGATGGTAGTTTGATGGTTAGAGAGTCAGAGTTGTCCTACGCACCAACAACGATTCTGAACCTTCTCGTCAGTTCCAAAGATACCTAAGCCGAAACCCTAAAATCCGAAGCTCTAAACCCGAAATACCTTCTGCCCTAGGCGCAGAGTTATCCAAAGATCCGTCCCCCCAGCCAGGAGCTCTTCGCCGAGAGGCTTCTGGAATACAATGTCTCTCAAGAGTCCTGCCAGCCGTGTTTTGCACAGGCAAGGCTGCAAAGTGCCTGAGGCGCTGACCAGATGTAGGAGTTTCCGAAAATAGGGGACCCAAATATGGTACCCTGAATACTAGGATCCTTATTATAAGGACCCCAAAATAAGGTACCCCTATTTTCGGAAACTCCCATGTAGCTGATGTGTCGGCACAACCTGCGGCCTGAAAAGGCGACAGCTTGGGACCCGAAAACTCCAAACTGATACGGTTTAGGGTTTAGGGTTTAGGGTTTAGGGTTTAGGGTTTAGGGCTTGCGGGTTTAGGCAGTGCCTGGGCGAGGCAATCCGCAATTTCCTTGCTTTTTGGTAAGCAAGAAGATGCGACAAGGGCTTTTCCTTCATGAAAACACACCGCACAACACCTTGGAGTTTAGCTTTTACTGTCTTGTTTCACATGAACTCTTCCGTTTAAGTATAATGAAAAGGAACAAAATAATGAGTTAAACGAGAGGAAAGAGTTAATACGAACGAAATCGCACGTCAGGCACTTCCGGAATTTCACTGTCTCTTAACGCGAGAAGAGAAGTGTGCTGTGGTTTTAGTGAAGGGAACATAAAGGAACAAAGTTCATGCGTGGTTCACTTCATTTCAACAGCACAGGAACGCCCGAACCAACCACCGACCCTAGAAATGAGCCCTGTTGTAACTGGGCTATTAGTTCCTGGTCCTGTTTTACAGGAGTTTGTGAGAGTAAATTCGGTCTTTTAGGTGCCATGCGTTGTTAAATTAAAGAAAGCACGCTTCATTCGCTCATTTTTCGCTCATTGCACTGTCTTTTCCTTTAATTGAACAACTTACGAACTCACTTTTTATAACATGAAGATAGGTGAAAGAGCACAAGCGAAAACCTGTACATCAATATATAATCGTAAATTCTGGTTTTCTAATACAACTAACAACTAACTTCTGGCTCTATAATCTTCTCCTAATCCTTTCCTGAACTCACAGCCCGGACACTTTGCCTCCATGCTCCCCAAGCCCCCATAAGCCCGAAAACCCCAAATCCCAAAACCCTAAGTCACATGCGATGCGCGGACTTTGGGGTTGGCGCCTCGAGTGCGTTCCACATGTGGGATACGGTCTCGAAGGCAGGGTTTAGGGTTTAGGGACTAGGATGCAGATGGATTCAAGGTATCCCGGCCCCTACAAACCTCAAAGCCCAGCACTCCGAGGCAACTTTTTTCTGGGCCAAAGCAACCCTAAACCATAAACCCTAAACCCTAGGATCCTTCTAATTCCCGAGGCAACTTGGCGGACCTGAACACGCTGCTCAAAGTCTTGGACCCAGGGGCGCTTTGCAGTCGGCTTCGACAGGCAAGAGGGTAGGGCTGCATATGAGCCCCAGAAGAGATCGTATAAGGGATCCTTTAAGGGTTCCTTTAAAGGTTCCTATTTTGGGGTTTAGGGTTTGAGGTTTGGGTTTAGAGATTTTAAGAGCTTTGGGTCGAGAGTCAAGTGTGGTCAGGTCCTTCACGGTCCGGGGGTTCAGCATGTAGGATGTAGGGCTTCCAGGGTTAAGGAGGTGAGGGTCCAGGGTTGAGGGGATGCAATATCATTATTGAACAAGTTTCCATGGCCTCAGGTATTAGGTGTAAGAGCCTCAGCCAGGAAACGGCATACAAGCTGCGGCAAAGCTTGCGATTTCATCAACAGCTGCTGACAGACATATGGCAGGCAAAATGATCCGCAGAAGACCCAAGTGTGTACATATCTAAAGACTTCAGGGTTTCGGGTTCTTAAAGTTTGCACGAAATTAAACCTCGAAGCGAACAGCACGGTGCCCAATCTCGGGGCCGATATCATTACCGATACTTTTCCATAAGCCTCCTTGTTGAAATTATACCCCCTGATAGCGTATTTTGACAGTCAAGGCCCCTATGCTATCCATTCAACAGACCCTAAACCCTCAAGCAAGTACTGCCGAGCGGGTAAGAGCCTTCCTCCACGGAAGGCAGCTCCATCGCCCGCAAAATACTTTAATACCGCGGTGGGTTTATGGTTTAGGTGCGTAACACATATAGGCATACATGCACGTGCATGTGTCTTTATGTATGTGTGTATGTATGTTTCTATGCGTGTGTGTATACATATATACACATACATACATACATACATACATACATACATACATACATACATACTTCTGTACACACACACACACACATATGTATCTGTGTGTGTGTGTGGGGGGGGGTCGGAGATAAATAGAAAGAAAGATAGATCTCGAAGCCTTCTACCCTGAAACTCCCAAGACATCAAACCTCAAAACGCAACGTTTCTGCAAGCCGTACACTCTCATAATCTGAACCCCGAACCTAAAACCCGAAGACCTTACACCCTCAATCGCAGTGTTTCGGTTGCGGGGTTCCAATTGGAAATGCCCACGGGCCTCGTGAAGCACAGATTTGAGAGGGTTTAGAGTTTAGAGTTCAAGGTCATGTATTCGAGGGGTTTGATCGTTTCGTAGTGGAGCTTGTACGTAAAATTCACTTCCGGCAGCTTGCGACGATGTCCGAACCCGCCAGCAGCTGTTTTTGTTTCAGTTGGGCTTTCAACGGATTTTCCTACATGCGTCGTAGCCAGGGTCGTACTTACGGGACCTTGTAAAGACCAAGTATACAACAGTTTGTGGTTTCTCCAGTAGCACACCTGGACAAATATCAACCTTTCAGGACGGGTAGTCCTCACCACGAAGTCTGAACTTAGGGGTAGTTAGAAATATTTTTTAAGTTTTGGTTATTACAATCCCTAAGAAACAGCTAGAATTCCAATTTTTGCTAGGGTTCTAAGTTCAGTATAATTGCTTTCCACTGCAACAAGCCTTCTTTTGGAGCCCTACAACACCTCGAACCGCGAGCCCCAAGCCCTCCGAGAGTTTGGTTGGGTTTTGGGCACAGGTTTTGGGGAAGAGGGCCTACTTGGCGGTTCAGGGGTGGTTTTAAGTAGGATTATAAGTAGGGTAATTAAAACTATACTTATAATTCATATAAGGGGACTTATAACCCTACTTAGAATTACCCATGAACCTCCAAGTATAGCCTCCACAGAAAGCAGCCGAAAATCGATAGTCCCAAAGCCTTTTGCTGCGAGTGGTCATGCTCGCAACGCCATCGGCATCGTCCGGGTCCAGGCAGGAGGGTCTTTGCTTCAGGACCATAAGGCTCCAGTCAGGGTTCACCCTAAACCTGCTTATAACTTCAAAGCCCTCTGTAAAGAGTACCCTTGGGAATCCTTGGGAGTTTGGATACCATTCACACGGCCCCATTAAGGGTTATGTTGCGGAAGATTTGCACGTTGGGAACCGTCGAAGTCCATCAGCCCGTGAAGTCCAGAAGATGCATGCTAGGTAGTATTAGGCCTTAGGAAGACCCCTTTGAGGGGACCCTTCTTAACCCTACTTCTGGCTCTCTTAAAACAGACCTTATTGAGAGGGTTTATATCCACAAGGCCGGCCTCTATGTTGCCCTGAAGATGGTTTTTCCGGTTTAGGGGTTTAGGAAGACACTTCACCTGGTCTTGAGTCCCCCGGCCCTTCAAGTTCCCCAAACCTCCCGCCAAAATCACTTAGTCTCCCTTAGGGTTTAGGGGTTTGGGGTTTAGGGATTTCCAAACCCGAAGCATCCCCGAGCCGCGTGCGAACCAAAGCATCTGAGGTGTTTATAGAACCCCGACGGATCCCTCAAAGCTCTAAGACCCTACGAAGCCCAAACTCCCCTGAACCCAACCTCCCTGTCAGGGAGGCTCTGGCAGGCAGTGAGGCTCTTGCCAAGAGCCTCGAGCGCCCGGAGGTGGGAGCCCGTCTTGGGATGCTGGGGGGCGTTCATGATCAGAATTGGGCTTTGATGGTGACTACAGACAGTTTGCTTGTGGCGTTAAAGGTTAAAACATGTTGTGTCTAGTTTTTCGGGAGGTAAATAACAACCAATTATTATGGCGTTGGTGATCAGAATCCTGCTACCTTGGCAAATTTTGCAGTTCGACCGTCAAGCTGCCGGTAGTAATTAGATTATGGCTTCGATTCAATGAGTATGGGTTGAGGGTAGGGTTGGACAAGGGCTTCTCAGTGGAACGGCTTTGGGTTCAGGTTCAGGTCTGCAAAGGGCTTAAGGTTTAGGGGTTCAGGAACTTCAGCTTCTGGCTTCGGCTCGGAGAAGGAATATAATATAATCGCAGTGCACCATTTCTCGAGCGGTTTCTGGGTTGCAGGATCTGGATTCAAATCACCTTGATGTGAATGCCTTGGTCTTGGTGACTTCTTCGTCCACACTTCGCGAGGGATCTTGCGTCAGATGTGGTCCTTCAACCGAGAGAATTCGCCAAAGCCACCTCTACTGCACACCCTACACCCTGAACCCTAAACCTTCAACCGGAAGAAGGCAGCAGGAGCAGAGCACGTTCTCGTGATTCGTATGATGCTGGTCTTTTTCCCCATGCTGATCGTAGCTAGTATGGCAGTATGGGGGCCTAAATCATGAACAGCATAATTCTATAATATTAATATGCCAGAGCCCTGTTGTAATTATTACGGCCCCTATATCAGGTGTGGGAGTAGGGGTCCCGTCGCTGTAGAAGGCGGTTTCACGACTCTTATCACAAGAACCTTGTCGAGCACTAAGATCTAGTAGTCGAGTTAGGTAATGTTCAACATGTTTTAGGGGCACTATAACCCCGTGTATAATCCCAACATGATCCCGGAGGTTAACCTTTTGGTTCCGCAGGATACTCGACAAGTGCCAGCATACTCATATGCCAAGACAACTCTACTGCTATCTTTGTCTTGGGGGCTTGAGTGCCTAGGTCCTATTGCCCAGCCACGAAACCATTCTTTCCGTTTAGCAAAGCCACTGCTTTCAGGGCGAGCATGTCCTGCTCCCCAAAGCTCTACGGCCCCTTCGGCTGCAAAGACATTGTGTACAGCAAATAGAGTCTAAGTCTAAGATAAACTGATGCAATGTAACCAAATCTAGCTTAAGTTTGAAATACAAAAAACGATGTGCCTTGCGGTTCCACGTCCTGAGCGGCCTGAGCTTCAGAGACTTGTGGAGGGCGCTTTGCCACGGCAATGCAAAATCTTGCAGCTCTGTAACCTTGTCAGTGCGCTCTCAGTCTACAGTTTGTTCATGTCTTCATCCTGGGGTGGTGTTGGGAGTCGTAAACCCTAAACCCCAAACCCTAAATGCAAGAATCGTGGATGTCGTCGCGATGCCTCAGCAGGCTTCGAAGGCTTCTAGATTGCAGTTGTTGGCCTCTCCGAAGACCTTCACAGAGCCGATAGCCCATACTCGCGTGCCCGTTAAGAGATGTGTTCACAAGGTATAGAGGCCTAAATAAATTTTGGTGGTGCCTTATGGCAATCATAGTTTAACCGGCCCCAAAAAGCCTTTTCGAATTATTAAGGCCCCTATAGCTTTCTTAAATATGTGAGAGTGAAGAAGGATTTGATCCACATGACCCAGGCGTTCCAAGCCACGAAAACTGTCATGAAACCAGCATAGTTGGAAACGTGGGAGGCACACCCTACACCCATAAACCTAAAGCTCATGCATGAAGCTATGGACAACGTAAGAGAAATTTTGGATCCCATCCTAACGGCGATGCTTGAGGACTACGACAGCGACTGCACGCACCACTACCACTACCACTACCACTACCACTACCACTACCACTACCACTACCACTACCACTACCACTACCACTACCACTACCACTACCACCACTACTACTACTACTACTACTACTACTACTGCTACTACTACTACTACTACTGCTGCTACTACTGCTACTACTGCTACTACTGCTACTACTGCTACTGCGACTACTGGCCGAGAGCTGGTAGCTGCTACCTCACTCCGAAACGATCAGAATCGATGCGCAAACGTGGGGTTCCCTTGCAACGCCCAGCCCTAAGCCCTACTTCCCAAACCCTGAACCCTAAAGCCTCAAAAAAAGCCTGCACCCGAAATCCTCAACAAAACCTGAACCCTGAACGCTAAACCCTCAAAGAGAGCTTAAACCCTAAATCCTGAACCCGAATCCGGTGCTGGTTCCCAGGATCGCTGGCCGCGAGTATCGCTCTGCCAAGATCCTGCGAGAGTTTCTGCGGCGCACCAGTTGAGGGTTTGGGGGTTTTCGGTTTAGGCCTTTGGTTAGTAGGGAATGGAAGAATGGTAGTAATACTGTAGTAGTTATACTTGTAGCCCATTCCTCCATTCCCTACTAATTAACGGGCATGGCAGGGCTTTAGGGTTCCTGTAATAAGGGTTCCTTCCTTGAAGGGTTCCTTTGAGGATTCCCTGAAGGGTTTTTTGGAGGGTTCCTTCACAGGAAATACAAGGGCTCCTATTGGAGTTATCGTTATTTGGTGGGTTTAGGATTTTAGGTCTTCAGGGTTAGAGGATTTGGGTAGGTTTGGGGCTTAAGGATTCTTAGAGCTTTGGGCATATTGGGTCCCGGTGGGTTTTCCGGCAATCCCTTCCTGGCTTGGCTTAAAGGATTGAAGCGTTTGGCTTGGCAGCTCATATAGACATATTTGTGTAATTTATTCTGTTTTTTCGTCTCATTTGTTTAGGTTTAGGGTTTAGGGTCTCCATAGACTCGTTTTTCATCTCTTGAAGGTGGCCTTTGTTTCTGCCCCCAACGCAAGCATAGAGCGCCATAACACCAGGCACGGTTTCGCAAGGCTTGTTACGATTGAGCTTCAGACAGACCAGAGCCGAAGAGGTCTCGAGCCGGAACAGCCCACATTTGCGACTTGCCCCTCCGCCCTGCCGGCCCCAACCCCGATGACGCACAATCCCCAAGTAACGTCGGGTTCGGAATAGTGACAGTACGTAGTATTTTCCCTTGCATGTTCTAACCATGCAATCACGGCCCCTGTGCTATAGAACCGTTGTTGCAAGTCTGCACAGAACCCTTAAAGGATCATCATTAAGGCCCCCCGGATTACTTTTGGACTGAGGGTCTAGGTTTCAGGGAGAAGCCTTTACTCAATGGATGATGCCCAGGTTCCGGACAAAGCACCTCGGCACCGCTTCGGAACCTAGCAGTTTTGAAAAATCGGAGATTCGGGGTTCAGTGAGTTTAGGGTTCAAGAAGTTCGGACTTCAGCTCTCGGAGCTCAGGGTTTAGGATTCCGTCCTTGGGGTTCCTGAGTGGGGTTATAAGTAGGGTAACTAATACGTATAACTCCTCTTAAGGGACTTAGAACCCTACTTATAAGTATTCATGAACCTCCAAGTACTACAATAGGCACTGAACCCGTTTCTTCAGGCCTCAATATTATGGCACCGCTGTGGACGGTGTGAGGCTGGGCGTGGGGACTCCCGAAGCCCGAGCTCCAGCACGAAATGGTAAATCGAATCCACATGGTACTATCGGAGTGAATCATGCGTCTGAGAGATAATTCTACAACAACCTACCCCGAAACTCTGTTCTCAATATCAGGCCCACGACATTGAAAGACGTTTTTCAGATCCCTGATACACCAACAAGCACAGATCACTCAGGCCCGGAAAACCTTAAACCCCATGCCCAGAAAATACGAAATGCCGACCTCTTCCACTCAGAGGGTCAGGTTTTAGTATTTATCGTAATTATCTAATTACTTGCGCCGGGGTCAAAGTAATTTTTGCGTCTAGTTAGCTTATGAAAACCCTCCCCTGATCCTCTAAGCACGCCACTCAAGAGCTATCTTCCCAAAGCCCTCCAGACTCATGACATCCTAGGGCTTTCGGTTCCAAGCCCAAAATGCCTACACCCTAACCCCGAACCCAAAATTTATCCCCAAACACCTCTTTCCGTTCCTAAGCCCAGAACCCCCAAAACCCAAAACCTATGAATCCTAAACACCTAGCCGGGTTGCAAACTCCTAAGGAGCAGAGCGCGTCTCCTTCAACTGGAGCCTGGCTCTGTTCTCTTCATCGCGAAGCTCGTTCGTTGTTTAGGGTTTTTGTGGTTTTCAGGTTAGGGCCCACACTTGGCATAGGGGACGGAAGCAGTAGCATTCGTCTGTCTTTAAATGTCCCGATGCTCATATACTACAGTATGACCTCAAAGCCTAGTGTTGTTACGAAGGTCCCTATAATGGCAATTGCTGTACAAGAAGATGGCTTTGAAGATTTTTGGGTTAGGATCCAAGCCGCTATCCAAGACATTACATTCTTTACAGAGCTCAAACAGTAAGCTTGTTTCTATTTCTGAAATCTCGAAATTCGAAACCCAAAGCATGCCCTAGATGCTGAAACCCCGAAGTCTTGAGTCCAACTGCACACCCACCTCAGTTCATTTAGAAGACTGGAACTAATGCCCATGCTGTTCCTGACGTACCTTATCATCACTGTACTAGACTACAAGATACCCCAAAACGCTGTTCCAGTCAATACTGACCTTCGACTTCAGTGAAGGGTTTGGTGCGACGTGTGCCGCTGCATGGTAAAGAGTAGCGTTCGGGTTTGGTTTAGCTTGAGATGAACCCGAAAACACTGACACTCTTAAATGCCAAATGTTCAATCCCGGAAAGCCGTAACACCTTAACACCCAAGCACCGCAAACCCCACCTTCAGCGTGAGACTTGCAGTCATACCAGGGTTTACGTAGGGTTTTCAGGTGCAGGGTAAGAAATTTTTGCAGGGGACGGCGCGTAATGGCTCAGCTGAGAAGCTTTAAGATCCCCTGAACCCTAAACCATCGACTCTAAAACACTGTAAGGTTGCACAAGCCCCGACAGGTGTAGGGTTTGGGGGTTTAGTGTTCAAGGGCTACGCCCGCTTTAACGGTTCCCCGCGCCCTAAACCCTAAACCCTGCTATGGCTGCAGGTACGGACTGAGGTTCGAGATGCAGGGATGAGGAAACCGCATCCTGAGACTAGGGTTGATACTCCTGAAACCCTGCACTACGGGCCCAATAGCACAGAACCACAAGGATCGTATTATAGAGGCTTAAAAAGATACCAATACTATTTCGAGACTGTGTACTTCAGCTTTTTTGTTTTTATATCCCCCAAACTCTCTTCCGATTCTGAAGACCCTTGTTTTACAGTCTAGATGATCTGTGAGCTGTTACGGCACCTGCACCCCCCGTCGATGCTATGCCCAGGAAGTTTGAGAACGTCTTTCCCGAGTACGCCGTAATGGCTGCGCTGCGGCAGTTGAACAAGTGTCCAAGCTTCATTAGAGGCCAAAAGGGGCTTTAGCCTATGGGGGTTTAGTAGAGATTAGGGTTCCCAATATAGTGTTCATAGTAAGGAGTCCCTACCCCAAGAATCTTAAACCCCCCCTTTTAGCCTCCCATCAAAGCTGCGCTCATCGGGGTTTCGGGGTGCAGGACCCAGGTTCAGATCTGGCATCTCTCTTGCAAACTTAGAGGATCATGGGACTTAGTAAGTAAGGTTATAAGTACCTTAGTTGGGGTCATAAATAGTTATAAGTATAGTTACCCTAATTATAACCCTAGTTACTAAGTCCCAGGATCCTTTAAGAAGGCAGGGAAGTGTGTTCGAGGGGTAAACCCCAGGCCCAAAGCACTACCAGCACAGCGTCTGAACCCCCTGTGGCTGCTGAAGCCTTAAAGGCTGCACCCAAAATCATGACCATCGTCTTAGTAATGAAACTCACTGTGTTGGAGACTTATGTGCTATCACTACGATAAGGAATCATAGGGAGTACGACCAAGCTTCCACATTTATCCAAACTAAGAACTGAAGGTCCGGACGCCATACCCATGCTGGACCCTGAACCTGAAGCCCTAAATCCTCAGTTCCCAGCTATATAAGCCAAACACACACACACACTAAGCTTAAACCTAAAGCCCGAAACCCTCAACTTTAAAGTTCGACACCCAACATTAAAGCCCTAAGCGCTAAACCCTAAAAAAGGGAAACCCTAGACTTCCCTCTCGCCAGGCACTGGCAGAAGCATCGTCTTTTCATCGGCAGCGAGCCGGTGCAGGCCGACGTGGACTGGGTTTAGAGTTTGGGGCAAATCGGCACTAATGATGGCTGTTTGTCCCATCGATGGTTGCTGCATTGCTGTTGCCACTGCTAATGTCGGCGTCATGATTGTATTAAAATCCAGTCGTATCTGCTACTTCTAGTACAAACCGTATTGATACCGCTTCTATACTCCATGTGTGAACGGTATGTGTATATATATATATATATATGCCACCCCCACCCCCCAGGACCTACCTCGAAGCCTCCTGCGATCATACCCTGAACACATCAAAACCAGAATAGACATGTTAAGTATTGCCTAATACTCCTTCCCTACAACGACATAGACACATCAGAAGCGAAATAATTATGTTAAGTATTGCCGAATACCCCGTGTCTACAACGAAATATAACGATATAAACCCATTGAAACCATAATCATCATGCTAAGTATTGCCCAATACCCCTTGTCTACAACGGGTCCTACCTCGAAGCCTCCTGCGATCCTACCCTGAACACATCAAAACCAGAATAGACATGTTAAGTATTGCCTAGTACTCCTTCCCTACAACAACATAAACACATCAGAAGCGAAATAATTATGTTAAGTATTGCCTAATAACCCTTATATACAACGATCTACAACGATATAAACCCATTGAAACCAGAATAATCATGTCAAGTATTGCCCAATACCCATTGTCTACAACGACATAAACCCTGCAACATTAGAATAATCATGCTAAGTATTGCCTAAGCCTTCTGGGCTACGAAGAAATAGAACCCGTTTAACTCCGGATAGTCATACTAAATATCTCCAAACGCCTAGACTTAAAACGAAAAGAAAACTGAAATATGTCTGTGTTGCGACCAGCCAAGGCACCTGGAATGGGAGGGAGCTTGTGTTATACATACTACATACTGCAAGGATGACACGCACAAATCAATTAGGGAAACACCTGCGCATACCGCTTTTCCTCCAAACAACATCGTCACGTGTGAAACATCCTTCAGTGCTTTGTCAGCACTAGACGTACTTCGTCATGCTCTGCATGATACGGACACATCTTCCATATCTCGTTGAGGCTATAAACATCCAAAGTAGCAGGACTGCCACTTTGGCACTCATTGCATTCGCCTTTACACGTCCGATTCCACCCAGTGCTGCTTTCCAGGTGTTCCACCTGGATAACTGCTTTGGGATCTAGATATGTATGGAAAAGCATGGCAAGTATTGTGGTTGCCGCGACGCTCCTGTGCTTGCCTGCTCTACATTTACAAAGCACGTCGATTTCACGTCGTGACCAGGCCAAGGTAATGACCCGTGCCATCAGGCAGCGAAATTTATTTAGCGACAGTAAACGATTCACTATTCGTGGGTTCCAGCCTATGTGAGACAACGTAGTCGGGTCCTTTCCTGGATCGGCAAATTCTTTCAGATCCAGGATGACTACAGCTGCCGAAGCAGAAAGATTTCTACTCTCATTCCCGCTAAACAGTTGAACTACCATCAAAGGCGGAAAGGCTGGTTCCTTCACGCTGTGACTTCCTGAGGTAGAAGGCGGAAAGGCTGGTTCCTTCACTCTGGGACTTCTTGAAGTAGAAGGCGGAAAGGCTGGTTCCTTCACTCTGGGACTTCTTGTGCGCTCACGTTCTGAGGTAGAAGGCGGAAAAGCTGGTTCCTTCACTTTGGGACTTATAGCTGAGGTAGTACAAGCAGGAGAGGTCAATGGATGATCTTGCTTCCCAGGATCATCTTCAGCCCGACGTACTGGAAGTGCTTTAGCGGGTACTGCGGCTTTGTGTTGTAGGTTAAGATCCGCCGGTAGAACAGCAGCAGTACTTGGAACACTCCCTCTTCATGGTGGCGGTACTACAACTCCGTGTCTTCGAGCAACTTTCTCTGGCGGTGGTACTATGACACCTCGTAAAGGTGTCGCCGTTCTCTGCAAGCCTTGTGCTTTTGCTGGTGGTGGTGGTGGTGGTGGTGGTAGTGGTAGCGGGGGCGTGGGTTGTGGTGGTGGCTGTAGTGTCGCTGGCGTGGGTGGTAGCGGTGGTGGTGGTGGTGGTGTTGGTGGTGGTAGCGGGGGCGTGGGTGGTGGTGGTGGCTGTACTGCCGCTGGTAGCGGCGGCGGTGGTGTCGGCTCTCCTAAAGGTTGAGGACCAAGTAGTTGTGCTAGAGTTTCACTCCGAAGGCGTCCCACAGGAAGAGGTTTCACACGAGGAGGGTGGCGCAGTGTTGACAACGCCATTGCGGACACAACTTACAAAACTTCAGGCTCCTACATACTGAAACAGAAAGAGTTCTCAAAACCATAAGCTCCTCCTACAAACTGCAAAGTGTGTAGTTTAGGGTTTAGGGTTTAGGGACGGTATGCGCAGGTGTTTGAGCCGAACTTGCAGGCAAGTGGAAGTCTGCCGCTCATGATGCCGATGACGATGCGGGAGCACACCCTTTGCACCTGCACGGTACTCGTGGCGTTTATGGTTTCGGATTTGAGTATCATCTCTATGCGATTATGCACCCCCCTTGGGTTATGTGTATACATGCCTTACTGTGCATATGCATATTGCTGTATCATTATATAACAATGTGGAATATAACTTAACAGTGTGATGTATGTTCATATTGCATGTATGTATATGCTGATTGTATTATCATAAGGTAGACGGAAACTGAATATGACGATATTATCACTATTTCATATATATGACATGTACAAGATCACTTGAATTTGATTAGCTGCAGCTTGGGTCATCACACATTTGTTGCCATGCCGCAAGGACAGGACAGGAGCTGGAAGTACAAGATCACTTGATTTTGATTAGCTGCAGCTTGGGTCATCACACATCTGTTGCCATGTGATCAAACTGTCAAGCACAGCAATCCGCTCGCAAATCTTCACTGCAGGACTGGCCATGTGGCACATACAAGAGCAAGCCGACATATTTAGTTAATATTTATATGGTTTCCAGCGACCTGGCTGCATTAAAACGCGCATTAAAGAATTAAATTTTAATGCAGCCTGGCCCGTGGAACCAAGAACCAAGAACCAAGATTCCCAGGAGTCATGAATCCTGAATCTTGGTTCCACGGGCACCGGCCGGGCTGCATTAAAACGTGCATTAAAAAATTATATTTTAATGCAGCCAGGCCCGTGGAACCAAGAACCAAGAACCAAGATTCCCAGGAGTCTTGAATCCTGAATCTTGGCTCCACGGGCCTGGGTGCATTAAAATTTAATTTTTTAATGCAGATTTAATGCAGCCCGACCAGTGCCCGCGGAACCAAGATCCAAGAATCAAGACTCCTTGGCATCTTGGTTCTTGGTTCCACGGGCCTGGGTGCATTAAAATTTAATTTTTTAATGCAGATTTAATGCAGCCCGACCAGTGCCCGCGGAACCAAGATCCAAGAATCAAGACTCCTGGGAATCTTGGTTCTTGGTTCCACGGGCCGGGCTGCATTAAAATATAATTTTTTAATGCACGTTTTAATGCAGCCCGGCCGGTGCCCGTGGCACCAAGATTCAGGATTCAAGACTCCTGGGAATCTTGGTTCTTGGTTCTTGGTTCCACGGGCCAGGCTGCAATAAAATTTAATTCTTTAATGCGCGTTTTAATGCAGCCGGGCCTCTGGTATAGTCATGTTATTATACACGATTCTTCAGAGACTTATTCCATGTTGCATGTGTGTGTGCGTGTGTGTGTGTGTGTGTGTGTGCATGGGTAATGAAGTGTGGTATCATATATGTAGACAGACGGGTTTGGAGGTAGGTCCTGGGGGGGGTACCATATATGCTACCCCCCCCCCCCCAGGACCTACCTCGAAGCCTCCTGCGATCATACCCTGAACACATCAAAACCAGAATAGACATGTTAAGTATTGCCTAATACTCCTTCCCTACAACGACATAGACACATCAGAAGCGAAATAATTATGTTAAGTATTGCCGAATACCCCGTGTCTACAACGAAATATAACGATATAAACCCATTGAAACCATAATCATCATGCTAAGTATTGCCCAATACCCCTTGTCTACAACGGGTCCTACCTCGAAGCCTCCTGCGATCCTACCCTGAACACATCAAAACCAGAATAGACATGTTAAGTATTGCCTAGTACTCCTTCCCTACAACAACATAAACACATCAGAAGCGAAATAATTATGTTAAGTATTGCCTAATAACCCTTATATACAACGATCTACAACGATATAAACCCATTGAAACCAGAATAATCATGTCAAGTATTGCCCAATACCCATTGTCTACAACGACATAAACCCTGCAACATTAGAATAATCATGCTAAGTATTGCCTAAGCCTTCTGGGCTACGAAGAAATAAAACCCGTTTAACTCCGGATAGTCATACTAAATATCTCCAAACGCCTAGACTTAAAACGAAAAGAAAACTGAAATATGTCTGTGTTGCGACCAGCCAAGGCACCTGGAATGGGAGGGAGCTTGTGTTATACATACTACATACTGCAAGGATGACACGCACAAATCAATTAGGGAAACACCTGCGCATACCGCTTTTCCTCCAAACAACATCGTCACGTGTGAAACATCCTTCAGTGCTTTGTCAGCACTAGACGTACTTCGTCATGCTCTGCATGATACGGACACATCTTCCATATCTCGTTGAGGCTATAAACATCCAAAGTAGCAGGACTGCCACTTTGGCACTCATTGCATTCGCCTTTACACGTCCGATTCCACCCAGTGCTGCTTTCCAGGTGTTCCACCTGGATAACTGCTTTGGGATCTAGATATGTATGGAAAAGCATGGCAAGTATTGTGGTTGCCGCGACGCTCCTGTGCTTGCCTGCTCTACATTTACAAAGCACGTCGATTTCACGTCGTGACCAGGCCAAGGTAATGACCCGTGCCATCAGGCAGCGAATTTTATTTAGCGACAGTAAACGATTCACTATTCGTGGGTTCCAGCCTATATGAGACAACGTAGTCGGGTCCTTTCCTGGATCGGCAAATTCTTTCAGATCCAGGATGACTACAGCTGCCGAAGCAGAAAGATTTCTACTCTCATTCCCGCGAAACAGTTGAACTACCATCAAAGGCGGAAAGGCTGGTTCCTTCACGCTGTGACTTCCTGAGGTAGCACGCGGAAAGGCTGGTTCCTTCATTCTGGGACTTCTTGAAGTAGAAGGCGGAAAGGCTGGTTCCTTCACTCTGGGACTTCTTGTGCGCTCACGTTCTGAGGTAGAAGGCGGAAAAGCTGGTTCCTTCACTTTGGGACTTATAGCTGAGGTAGTACAAGCAGGAGAGGTCAATGGATGATCTTGCTTCCCAGGATCATCTTCAGCCCGAAGTACTGGAAGTGCTTTAGCGGGTACTGCGGCTTTGTGTTATAGGTTAAGATCCTTCACTCTGGGACTTCTTGTGCGCTCACGTTCTGGGGTAGAAGGCGGAAAAGCTGGTTCCTTCACTTTGGGACTTATAGCTGAGGTAGTACAAGCAGGAGAGGTCAATGGATGATCTTGCTTCCCAGGATCATCTTCAGCCCGACGTGCTGGAAGTGCTTTAGCGGGTACTGCGGCTTTGTGTTGTAGGTTAAGATCCGCCGGTAGAACAGCAGCAGTACTTGGAACACTCCCTCTTCGTGGTGGCGGTACTACAACTCCGTGTCTTCGAGCAACTTTCTCGGGCGGTGGTACTATGACACCTCGTAAAGGTGTCGCCGTTCTCTGCAAGCCTAGTGCTTTTGCTGCTGGTGGTGGTGGTGGTGGCAGTGGTAGCGGGGGCGTGGGTTGTGGTGGTGGCTGTAGTGTCGCTGGCGTGGGTGGTAGCGGTGGTGGTGGTGGTGGTGGTGGTGTTGGTGGTGGTAGCGGGGGCGTGGGTGGTGGTGGTGGCTGTACTGCCGCTGGTAGCGGCGGCGGTGGTGTCGGCTCTCCTAAAGGTTGAGGACCAAGTAGCTGTACTAGAGTTTCACTCCGAAGGCGTCCCACAGGAAGAGGTTTCACACGAGGAGGGTGGCGCAGTGTTGACAACGCCATTGCGGACACAACTTACAAAACTTCAGGCTCCTACATACTGAAACAGAAAGAGTTCTCAAAACCATAAGCTCCTCCTACAAACTGCAAAGTGTGTACTTTAGGGTTTAGGGTTTAGGGACGGTATGCGCAGGTGCTTGAGCCGAACTTGCAGGCAAGTGGAAGTCTGCCGCTCATGATGCCGATGACGATGCGGGAGCACACCCTTTGCACCTGCACGGTACTCGCGGCGTTTATGGTTTCGGATTTGAGTATCATCTCTATGCGATTATGTACCCCCCTGGGTTATGTGTATACATGCCTTACTGTGCATATGCATATTGCTGTATCATATAACAATGTGGAATATAACTTAACAGTGTGATGTATGTTCATATTGGATGTATGTATATGCTGATTGTATTATCATAAGGTAGACGGAAACTGAATATGACGATATTATCACTATTTCATATATATGACATGTACAAGATCACTTGATTTTGATTAGCTGCAGCTTGGGTCATCACACATTTGTTGCCATGCCGCAAGGACAGGACAGGAGCTGGAAGTACAAGATCACCTGATTTTGATTAGCTGCAGCTTGGGTCATCACACATCTGTTGCCATGTGATCAAACTGTCAAGCACAGCAATCCGCTCGCAAATCTTCACTGCAGGACTGGCCATGTGGCACATAAAAGAGCAAGCCGACATATTTAGTTAATATTTATATGGTTTCCAGCGACCTGGCTGCATTAAAACGCGCATTAAAGAATTAAATTTTAATGCAGCCTGGCCCGTAGAACCAAGAACCAAGAACCAAGATTCCCAGGAGTCATGAATCCTGAATCTTGGTTCCACGGGCACCGGCCGGGTTGCATTAAATTTGCATTAAAAAATTATATTTTAATGCAGCCAGGCCCGTGGAACCAAGAACCAAGAACCAAGATTCCCAGGAGTCTTGAATCCTGAATCTTGGTTCCACGGGCCTGGGTGCATTAAAATTTAATTTTTTAATGCAGATTTAATGCAGCCCGACCAGTGCCCGCGGAACCAAGATCCAAGAATCAAGACTCCTGGGCATCTTGGTTCTTGGTTCCACAGGCCTGGGTGCATTAAAATTTAATTTTTTAATGCAGATTTAATGCAGCCCGACCAGTGCCCGCGGAACCAAGATCCAAGAATCAAGACTCCTGGGAATCTTGGTTCTTGGTTCCACGGGCCGGGCTGCATTAAAACTTAATTTTTTAATGCACGTTTTAATGCAGCCCGGCCGGTGCCCGTGGAACCAAGATTCAGGATTCAAGACTCCTGGGAATCTTGGTTCTTGGTTCCACGGGCCAGGCTGCAATAAAATTTAATTCTTTAATGCGCGTTTTAATGCAGCCGGGCCTCTGGTATAGTCATGTTATTATACACGATTCTTCAGAGACCTATTCCATGTTGCATGTGTGTGTGTGCATGGGTAATGAAGTGTGGTATCATATATGTAGACAGACGGGTTTGGAGGTAGGTCCTGGGGGGGGTACCATATATATATATATATATATATACAGATGTACACATGTATGACATAATATGTTTGTGATGCTCCACGTTGTTAGTCGCAGAGTTTATGTAGCGTGCAGCATCTGTTCCTGCATGCCAGTGTCTGAGCCATCACCTGAGACCGAAGATCCTGCAGCTCGTAGGGTTCAAGGTTTTGGGTTGAGTTTAGACTTCCGTTTCGTGGTTACGGACATGCTAAAACCTGCATTGGCCCTGCCGTGTTTGGTTAGGTTTAATGTGTGGGCTGTAGGCCTTAAGTCCACAGTCCAAGCCCACTGCCCTGGGCCTGAGTCCCCTATTCAAATCCTTACAGCCCGCACCCTGAGCAGCGTTTCGAGTTTAGGGTTGGGGCAAAGCTAGACATAAACCTTGATATTCCAAACCTATATCCTACAAACTCTAAGCCGTCTAGACTCCGATCGACCGTTGAAAACGAAGAACTGCACCCCAAACCCTCAACCGCCTAGACTCAGGCAAGCACATTCGGCGTTTTTCCTATGGGCCCCGCACTGGGCCTGGTCGAGGTCGTTCCGCACAGCCGCACCAGGGCAACAGTTGTTGCTTGTGGTTCTGAGTTTAAGGTTGTGGGTTTCGGTCGTTTTTGGCTTTAGGGCCTTTGGGAGTTGAAGGTTTGGGCTTCACTGTCTAGAGTTTTGTGGCTATAGGGTTTCAGGGTTTAGGGGGCCATTTGGGCTCCAGGGGTGTAGACTCCCAAGCCTCGAAGCCTTATGGGAGTTTCCGAAAATTTCGGGGGGTACCTTTAAAGGGATCTGTAGGGTTTAGGGTTTGTGAGTTTCCGAAGATTGGGGGTACCTTATTTTGGGGAGAAAAGGGATTCTGCTGTTTAGGGTACTATATTATATTATTGGGGGTTATATTAGGGTCCCGTACTTTCGGAAGCCCCCTTATAGAACCCGTGTAGAAACCCTCGCAGTACCCCCTTGGCTTGAGTTTTCAAGCTACCACAGCACAATCTCCATGGCGAAGCTGTCTTCCTGGTTTAGAAGAGCGCTTATTTAGCAGATTGCGCGTCCACCTTGCACCCTCTGGACTTTCGCACACAGCACAATCTCCATAGCTCAAGTGTTTCTTAATCTAGGAGAGCGGTCATATCGAACACCTAGAGCCTCTTAGAGTTATTTGTGAATCAAGACCCCGTTGATACAGTGTTTCGGGGCTTGCAGAGTCTAGAACCTACTAGGTATCGAGTTGGGCTAGTTTTGAATTTCCTTGTTTGTTTAATATAGAGCCTTAATTATGAATAACTTGGGTTGCTACTTAGAACCGACACCAAACCTAGTTCAAGAGGGTCATCGCTGTTTAGGGTTTAGGGTTGGGGTTTTGGAGTTGGGGTAAGCGTCTAGGGTCATACCGTCCCCGAAATACCCAGTTGAGAAGCAGCAGGAGGCCTTCCTTCTCCCGAAAGATCTATAGTCTGATTTAGGACCAAATTTAGAAGACTAAATAGTTACCTATACTATTTTGAGAGTTCCTGATTATGATTATAGTACAGTGGGCCCTAGTCTGAATATGAAGGCACCTATATTGGGCCTTTCCTGCCGAACGTGAAGCCTCAACCCAAACCTAAGCGCCCATATTCCCTCCGAAACCCTGGCCTGGCCCCCAAAACCATGCCTGTAGCCGAACAGACCTACCTTTTTAGGGTTCTTTATGATGGTTTCTATATATAGTTCCTCAATAAGGTAGGTCTTTTGGGCACAGGTGAGCCCTGACACCCCTAACCCAAAGCCTAGCCCTGTATAGCCCGAAAACCGTAGACTGCAATTTTCTCCCCTGAAACCCCCAAAATAACCGATTGAAACCCTGAGCCCGAACCCCTAAACCCTAAACCCTAATGGCCCAGGCACTCTTCGGGAGTTGTCTGAAGGCATTCCCTTCGGGGAGCGGCAGCGCCCAGTCTGAGAAAAGCGCCTATCAGGCGCTGTCGGCTGCTTTGTTTTGGGTTTTTTGGTCCACCTTGCGCAACCCTAAGCCCTAAACCCTACAAGCCCTATATAATGTGTGTGTGTATATATATATATATAAACCATGATCTTTGTTTATAGGGGTCTCCAACTTTCCGCGAGATGACGATCCCCAAACGAAAACAAACTTGAGACGCCCTCCCGGATTCCAAGGTACCGCGTGCTGCGTGCTTTAGGCGATGGCAGGGATCGGGGTCCCTTGGGGCCTCGTTTGGTGTTGACTGGCAGGGTTCGACAGAGTTTGGAGTAGTTTAGGTTTGGGGGTTGAGGGCTGATGCTGCTCCGGGGAGAGCGGTTTAATTAACCTGGTCTTTACATGTGTTGGCCCTCAATGCTGAGTCTTGACCTTGCTTGTAACAGCTTAAAGCCGCCAGCATCGTGGATGTGTAGGCTGATGATGTAGGGAATGAAGGAAATGAAGAAGAGGATTGGACTGCAGATGCGAACGAATATTGATGCAGATGAGGTTGCCGATGACGACGGGGGGGGGGGCAAACAAACAAAATGACAAGGGTCGATTGGTGCTGGTGCTGGTGTTGGTGTCGTTGTTTTTGCTATTTGTTATTGTTATTGTGTTTGTTCGTGTTGTTGCAATGTTTTTGTTCTGGAATGTTATTGTTCCTGCTCTCGTCCTCGTCGTCGTCGTTGTGGTGGATGTGGTGGTTTAATGTTGTTGTTGTTGTCGTCGTTGCCGGCGGTGGTGGTGTTGGTGGTGGTGGCTTTGATGCTGTACAGATGTAGATGTTGGTGTTGGTGTTGTTATTGTTGTTTCTTGTCCTCGTCCTCGTTGTGGTGGAACGGTGGTGGTGGTGGTGGTGGTGGTGGTGGTGGTGGTGGTGGTGGTGGTGGTGGTGGTGGTGGTGGTGGTGGTGGTGGGTGGTGGTGGTTGGTGGTGGTGGTGGTTGGTGGTGGTGGTGGTGGTTGGTGGTGGTGGTTTGGTGGTGGTGGTGGTGGTGGTGGTGGTGGTGGTGGTGGTGGTGGTGGTGGTGGTGGTGGTGGTGGTGGTGGTGGTGGTGGTGGTGGTGGTGGTGGTGTGGTGGTGGTGTGGTGGTGGTGTGGTGGTGGTGGTGGTGGTGGTGGTGGTGGTGGTGGTGGTGGTGGTGGTGGTGGTGGTGGTGGTGGTGGTGGTGGTGGTGGTGGTGGTGGTGGTGGTGGTGGTGGTGGTGTTGGTGTCGGTGTCCGTAGTTTTCATGATGATGATGATGATGATGACGATGACGATGACGATGATGATGATGATGATGGGGATGATGGTGACGATGATAACTGCAATGTTGAACCTGATGTTCACCCAATAATTAGCAATCACCAGCACGGTTGAAATCATAATGATGACGTGGATCTTGGCCTTTAGGCTGGCCATCACCATCACAACCGCCTTTACAACACTAGAGCCAAAGTCATCTTGCCATCAACACCGTAGCATCATCATCACCATCGTCTTCAAGGCCAGCATGGGAGTGCCACTAGGATGAAGACCGTCAATACCATGCTCATCATGAACTGCAGAAGCAGCATCATTAGCGTAGTCTTCATCATCGCAATATTCTCCACCATCAGCCTCATCGGTTGTCATATTTGTCCATATCACGCTCTTCGGCTGGCGCACAGCTACGATGCAACAGCTAGTAGAATACCACAGCTACTGCTTCAATGTCTGACGGCTGCAACCCCACACCAACCCCGCCCCACGTACCTAAACAGTGAGCCCTGCTCTCCTCTATGTCTAATCTAATGTTCTGTGGTATACCTCAAAAGGTTTAATCGGGCAAGCCCAGACTCGAAGCCACAGATGCAGTGCTGAAGGGCGCGCAACGCAGGGTAATTAAGGATCAATGTCACGGGATTCTGAAGTTCCCAAGCCCAACAGTTCTCCAGCATCGGGTAGCGGATCCAGAAGACAAAGGAATTGAGACATTTGGGCCGAGCAGCCGTCATCCAATCCCCGCAACCAAGATGTAGAGAACAAGCAATGCATAAGGCCTCGACCTATGCACCTGAAGCCGATCAGCATTTCAGCCTCTGCCCGCGACACTCGAAAGACTTTCAAAACCCTGAGGAGGGCTCTCTTGACTTTGTTTTGCTAACAGGGGCAATGCAACACTTTGCGGTGGCCTTACCAGGTCCAGGAAGTCCAGCTGAATTGAGATTAGTTCCGGGAAGGACACCCGGGAGACTTTTTTCAGCAGCGGGGTTACTTCTGCATTATCGGGCTTAATCATTTCATGCTACGTTGAAACCTGTGCTATTCCGCTCAAGGTGGGGGAAACACCAGCGACACAAAGCTCATTGATATTCTCTCATGGTTGCCATGTCTTCATGTTCCCCTGCATGTACACAGTGAGAGATGTCAGCTTTCTCTCATTGGCAGCACTGTTCTCTCTGTTCATCAGAGCCAGGCTATGTGAACAGTGCTAAACGATAGGCGGCCATGTCACCTTGAGAGACACACTTGAAATTGTTGTTGCGTTTTTACGGCATCGACGACAGCTTTCCAGCACCTTGCATTGCTGTTGGTTGGGAGTCTCCGTGCGCTTGCTAGGTGGCGATGCATCCGACACAAACACAGTTCCAGGGCTTTAGAGTGCAGCAGCCGAGCCCCGACAGTTTTTGGATATACAGGTTTTATATGTACACAGAATATTATGTGTGCCGACGTTCAGGTCCAATGCTCCCCACATCAAACACGCATGTGTAGCAGCAGCTTTGCAGCATGAGTTGCCATCGTTTGCGGTAGCCTCAACTTCATGGTTTGGGGCGCAAAGCCTGGACGGATTGACAAACGAAGCCGGCAATACAAGCTAACCAGCAGCCCACAAGTCGCAGGTGGAGATTCGAAGCGTTTGGACCGACTGGCTGCCAGCGTCTGTGCTGTCGATGCATTTAGAGGACGAGGTGGAAAGCAAGTAACATGTTGTAGTGTTTGGTGTGTTGCCCGGCTTGTGTCGACATTGCTATGGTTAACAGATTACTCGACAAGTTGTAGTGCCGCTCATGAACATGCACAATATGAATACGAGTTGTAGTAGTGGTAGTAGTAGTTGTAGAAGCAGTAGCAGCCGTAGGAGTAGGAGTAGGAGTAGGAGGAGGAGGAGGAGCAAGTTCGGGATTTGTTGACAGATTCAGAACTTCGTGCTCGCCCCAAAAGCAACAACCCGCAGGCCTTCTGTAGTAGTCGACGCATAGCGGCTGAGGATTCACGGTTTAGGGCCAGGGTTTGGGATCAAAATTTCGGCCCCGAAAAAACTCCAACCCAGACCAAATCCCGGAACCAGCTCAAATCCCATCGTAGAATTTCGAGCCCAAGCACGAAGATTTAGGTGACCAGAGACTCCTAGACCCTTGCGCAGAAGCCCGCGCAACACCAATTCTAGAGTGGCTCTCTCGGTTTTGCGGTCCGTAACCTAATCCCTCTAGCCCGAGGTGCCTACCTTACCTCGGGCTACGTCCTCGGTATCCGAGATGGCCATGACGATAACCTGATGCTTCATCGGGATGGTCCGGGACCCAATAGGCTTCAGGGCCGAGGGTATATGGTATCGGGCATAGTTTGTAGGGCGGGTTTTGAGGAACCCAGACGTGCGACAGCTCATGATGATTCGATGTCTTGTTGTTGCGTCATGGAACACCCAGACCTTCCAAGGTTTAGAGTTGAGGGTTCAGGGGTTTATGGGCTTAGTGTTTTGGGGGATTTGGGGTTTAGGGGTGTGCGATGCGGGGCTTCAGGGGTTGGGCCATTTAGAGGGATCATGTCTCGGAGGTTGGTGTGGTTCAACGTTTTCTTGCTTTAGCTGCAGGCTTTACCGGCTTTCGGGATCTAGGGGGCTGTAGATGAAATGGTTTCAGATGTGCATCGCGTGCGAATGCCCATTTGTTCTAGCTGTGGCCGCACTGCGGTGTTCTTCTATGCTGACCTTGATGTTCGTAGGTCGTCAATTTTCTTGCCGGCTCCCTGAACCCTGAACCTTCAGTGCAAAACCAGAAGGTTTAAAAACTTTAAGCCCTAAACCCCAAATGAGAATCCTCAACCCAAAACCCCTCACCCTAAAAGCCCCAAAGCCTTAAAACCCTAAACTCTAGAAGCCCTAAACCCTAAATGACCTAAACCCTAAAAGCCCTAGACCCTGAAAAGCCGTAAGTTCCACAGGCAACCTCTTCCGCGTCGACTTTGGATTCGCTTTCGGGCGAACGCCGGAAATTGATCCTGGACTGTTTGGGTTTCAGAAGTCGGGGGCCTCAACAGGTAGGATGAAGGTAGGTGGGATATTCCCAAATATGAGTCCTTATTAAGTCCTTATATGAGGGATCCTTAATCCCACCTACCTTCATCCCACCTTGTGAGGCCTCCGAAGAAGTTGAGAGTTCTTGTTGGCCGGCTTAGGGTGTAGGGGTTTCGGGTTTGGGGTCTAGGATGTAGGGGTTTAGGGAACTAGGGTTTCAGTTGAGACTCCTTAGTCTAGGAATGGTTTAGGGCGTACGGGTTTGGTGTCGTGGGAGTAGGCGCTTACGGTTTTAGTGTTTTAGGATTTGGGTTTCAGAAGTTGAGACTTGTTTGTCTGGTTGAATGGTTTAGGGGGTAGGCGTTTGGGCTTTACGGTTTGGCGGTCCTGGTTTTATGGGTTCAGGGGTTTGGAGGTTTAGGGTTTGGCGTTTCGATATAGGGCATCATAGGGCTTGAAGCTTACGTTCATGCCCTTTTGCAGCACAGCTGGGCAATTCAGGTTTCAGGTGCGAGGCTTGCAACGTCTCGTTTTAGCAGGCCGGCTTTGTCGGTGATACGGATGTTTCGTGCAGAGGCTGTCGGTGCTCGCCGGAGAGGTATTGCAGTATCGTGGTGCTTTTCAACGAAGCGCAGAAGCATTCGCACTTGCAGTTGAGGGTGCTCCTGTGGGTGCAGCCAGGCATCCTCGCTGCATACCCACAAACATCGGCGAAACTCCAAACCTACCCTGAACATCATAGACCTTCAGCCCGAAGCCCTAAACCCTCTTGACCACCCCCAAACCCTAAACCCCACAAGCCCTCACACACCCTAAGTTCCGAGCCCTATAATTAACGTTTGAAGAAATGTCCTTGGACGAGCACGGCTGGAGGAGGAGCAAGTATTTGAGACATCTGTTTACGGATTCCTTCCGCCCCGGCCATGCTATATGCGCGGTGGGGGGTGGGGCCGGGGAGCTCGGTGCGACGAATGCCTGGGGTCTGGAGTCTAGGGTCTATGGTCCAGGGATGAGGATCTTGATTCTAGGGTCTAGGGTGTATAGAGTCTAGGGTCTACGATCAAGGGTCTGGGGTCTGGGATCTGGGGTCTAGGGTCTAGGGTGTAGGGCCTAGGTTGTAGGATGTTTGCCCTACCGGTCTTGTGTGCTGCGCCGAGGTTGGCCTGCCGAGCTGCATCTGCAATCCACACGTGAAAACGGCAAGGCCTACTACGCCAGCAAGCCTCTGACGTCCTCTCCAGTCGCCAGGTGCACGTTGAATAGTGTAAGTAAATTCTGGCATGAAGATGCGTCATTCGCCCTGCCGAGGTGGTTGTTGTCGGCATGCAAGACGAGAGAGAAGGCTTACAGCAGAATGGCCCTGCTGCTATCTCCCGGCACCTTCACTGCGTGGGACACGAATGTGGTTGTCGAGCTGCACCCCGAACAAGCCTTCCTCAACAGAGCGGCTCGGGCTACATGTTCTACATCCTTAACCATGAGTCCCAGAATAGCATGTGTGAATCTGGAAACCTGTGCCCGCATGAACTCGGAGGCCGAAACCCTCTTGATGCTTTCCTGCACAATGACCGGCGCGAAAAAGTTAACAACCCTCTTGTTGCTTTCTTGCACAATGACCGCCCCTGCAAAATGTTTGCAACCCTCTTGGTACTTTCCTGCACAATGACCGGCCCCGAACAACAACCCTCTTGGCGCTTTCATGTCGAATCACCGGCCTCGAAGAAGTCAACAACCCTCAGCAAGATGGCTGGCTGTTCTGTCATGTTACATGTTGGCCTGGAACGGTAACCAAGTCTGTGCATGCCGTGCTTGACTCTTAGGTGAACGTGCACTCCAAAGACGGTCAGATGGAGGCGGGCATTGAGGCGGCAGCAGTACTGGGGGTCTGTCAGCTGGACGGCCACTTTATGCAATGGCGGAGCCGGCGATATGTTTTCGCCGTGACTCAAGTTCGCGGCCTTCTTTACGTGCGCGCTTCTTCTGAGACCATCCTCGTACCTTGGCTGCACGGTCGTGTGGCGGTGTGCAAGCATTCCCTTTCCTGGGGAAGAGTAATTAAAATGCGCACTAGTTGGAGGTCAAAGGCAACATCGTCATCAATCCGGCGCTTGGCATGAAAGTGATGGTTCCTCACCAGTGTGCCAAAGTCCGGTCGGTGGGGTACGAAGATGAGCTCGATTACGGGCTACTGTCTCTGCGCATTACTACCTGACGATTGAAGGCACCAGGAGCGCCCTTGCGTCGTATGCATCGGAGTGCTTGTGCGAGCATCGCTTGCATGGGACCTGAGCGAGAAGGTGCAGGCCGGCGGAGCCTCTACTTGTAGTGTTCGCATGAGGAGCAGTCAAGTGGGTCACTCGTCAGATTGCTGGTCGTGCAGGAGCTGGTCGATGAAGGCCGTGATTTCACCAAGAGCACCTTGGTGGACCACAGCTTTGGGCTCAACACTGTAATTACCACGCCATCCGGACGATCTCGTCTTGCTGCCGCCGCAGCGGTCCATTGTCGAGCGGCGCCCTTACCACGAGGTGAAGATGGGCCCCACCTGGAACAAGGCTCTCTGAATGAACTGTTGCTTGGTGCGCAAAACCAAATTAGTGCATGTTCTGCTCTTTGTTTGGCCATCAAGGCATGCGACATGCACGCACACGCAGAGCTACCGTGGAGTCTTCTTACCCAGTTCGTCGATCGCTTCATGGTCTCCATGTGCAACCCGGTTCTTGGACTCAAACCAATGCCTCGACTTCCTTATCGAGAGTCCTGCCACGCTGCGCGGTTCGGAAAGCATGGCTCGCGCCTACCTGCAAACCCTTCGAGCCATCGGGGGAGACGGAGTCTTGCCACGCTCAGGAAATCCCTCCGGCGTGGTGGTCTACTGGCATGACATTGTAGGGCCATGCTGGTGATCGAATGCAAAGATCCTGTGTGGTACACCCTTCTTAGGCAGGTCACAGTGACACTGTGGTACCAGTGTGGACGGGATGGACGTATTCTAACGTGTTGTACTTAGGGGTGGAAAAAAACAAGAACTCTATAAACCTTAAATCCTAGCCCTAGACCCGAAGCCCTTAACCCGAACTCCGAAACCCTAGACTCCTAGACCCTATACCCCAAACCATCTAAGGATGCCCCTGGCATCTTCGTTCCAAATGCTGTTGCCGTGGCCCTCGGGGAGCCTCGCTGGCGGCAGGCCGGGTCTTCTTTTAGGGTTTGCGGGTGTAGGGTTTAGGGTTTAAGGTGTGAGGTTTAGGGTTTAAGGTTTAAAGTTTAGAGTTCTAGCTTCAACAGTGGGTGTAGGGTTCCTAGTCTTGTTGATGAACTTCGGTTGATTTACCATAACAAGAGATCCTGCTCACTATAGATCTCCATTGCAGCAACTTAACTTAAGTTCCTCAACGAGAACCCGCATAAGCTTCTGAAGCTGTAGGGTTTCGGGTTTCAGAGCCTCCCAATATAGGGAGGGCTCTGAAGAATCACAGACGGATATGGTGGCAGATTATGTTGTAACTGAAGCTTCAAGAGGCTCCTAATGCAGAGGCCTTCATTTCTGGATAGAAGCAGGTTATTTTATAGCGTACGATGTATGACGTATGGACAAAGACACATCCTCCAGCCAGAAGCCCAACATGCAGAACACCGGAAAAGGTTTGAAACCTAAACACTGACTAGGACCCCTCCCTCCGTTCCCGAACTGCCCCGACTTCAGTTTAAACCCTAAACCCTCAACCCGAAACCCTAAACCCTAAACTAACTGGGTTAGAGGTGCTCGGACTTTGATCTTTGGCTTTGTTCGCTTGTTTGCAAGCGTAGGATTTGTTTCTGTTCGGGTATTCAGGTCCTGAGAATCCGAACTGCAATGACAAGGGTTTTCTGTCAAGGATTCTGTCGTCGCATGACAGGCTGTAGCTTGTTGTAATCAAGGATTATTCAGGGGCGAAGCTTTTATTGAATAATTGAGGGGTTGTATCATATATGATCACCCTAAACCCTCAAACCTCAAAACCTAAGCTCTAAGCCCTCACAACCTAAACCTTGAACATATGGGACTGTAAACCTCTACATGTTTCCTAGCCAGGTGATGTGTGCCTGCAAAGAGGCGCTGCAGGCCCCTTGGACCAGCTTTTGGAACCGGGTGAAGCTCACTCTTTCGGCTTGGGTTGCAGGATGCTTCAGTGCTTAATGTAGGGGCCTTGGTGATTAGAATAGGGTTCTGGTGGTTCCTCAGGATACTTGTAGCAAATAAATAAACCCCCAAACCTTGTTCTAATTGTTAAGGCCTCTTTGTGAGGGCTTCGGGCAACCCAGGCCTTGCCCGAGCCCCCCTGTCTTTGTGTTAGTCTCCCATCGAAAATCAAGTAAGTCGCTACTATAAGGGCCTTAATGATTACCTATACTATTTGGGGTGGGGGGCTCCTTATTATAATTTTCGTTGAATGGGCCCCAAAACCCTATTCTAACAATAGGAGGGGCCCCTCAGCTGTCAGTCGAGGGGTTGGTTGACTTGGGCTCCCTGGTGAGGGTTTACGGGATAGGGGTTTGAACCCAAAGCCTCATGCCTTTTACACAACATAAATCTTTTCCAGCATCTTCTGAGAAGTCCTAGAAGACCAAATATAACCCCGAGAAGCAACTGAAAAAGTTCAAGAAGACAGGCTGGCAAGACCCGAAGCTATGCCTGAGCCCTGAACCTGAAGCCCAAGCTTTATGCCCCCGAGGCAAAACCTTGAGCCTTCAACCCGAGACCCATGATCTCAAAACCCTTATCACGGAGCTGAACATGCAGAACCTAGACTAAGCCCTACGGCCTAATCTTCGAAACCAGCTGATCATAGCTGATCTCTAAACCCTGATACAGTACAGCAAGCCCTGAAACCGTAAAGAAGACTGTAAACATCAGTATGCACTGAAAGACATTAAACCCGAAGCTGTCCTATGCCCTTGAAGCACGGCATTTTCTGAACAACTAAACCCTGGCCCTTGAAGAAGGAGAGCTAGAACTCTAATGAGTAATGCGCCCCGGAGTCCCGATACAGCCTCTGTGGAAGCGGATCCGTATTGTAAGGCCCTTTGGATGCTACCCCGAATTTCTGACACCCTTCCTGAAGTGCCCAGCCAAGCGTGCGATTCGATGGCCTAAGCCGTAAACGCTACAGGGTTCAGGGTTAAGTGCTTAAGGGACTTAGCAGCCCTAAAACATAAAAGCCAAGAGCCCTTGTAGCACACTCATAGAAAGCATAGAACCCTCAAGGCTTGGTGCTAGCACCTCAAGGAATGAAGCACGACATCGATGGGAAGCTGAAGCTCAACAGGTCCTACTTAGCGCCCTGCACGAGCTGAAAGATGTTCGAGCCTCCGTTGGGCCGCAGAATCAGATACAGATCCGAGCCGTGGCTCGGATTGCTGCAGTGCTCGGCGCTGCTCCGCGAACCCGACGTCGACATCGACCATCTGAACCTCCAAACCCCCGGAAGAACCTTTACAAGCCCCTACTTATTACAGCAACCTTTACAGTACCCGTTTTAGAGCCCTTATAAAACCTTGATGCAACCTTACTTTATCAGTTTTATTTCCCTTACAGAACCCTTGTAATAACCCGGTCCTAGGCCTTGGGCAGCCGACCAGGACGCCCTCCAGCTTGGGACTGCTTGGCTAAGGCGGGTTTCGGGCGGTCAATATTTCTTGTCTTGCTTGGGTTTGGGGTATGACCTTTTGGGCTTTGGGGTTTCTTGGTCGTCCCTATATCACCAGTGATACAATAATCTAGGTGCTCATATTACACTCTTAACCCCAAACTGCAACTCCTCGAACCGGAGCGCGGGAAGCAAACCCTCAGCCTACGCCCAGCTGCCAGAGAACAACGTCACGGAAGCTAGGAAGGCTCTTCTATTCTGGGTTGTCCTTTGGGATCGTTTTTTAATTTCCCCTACTATTTTGTAGAGAACCATAATAGTACATAATTGTCAGGGGCTTAAAGGACAATTCAGTATTGCATGGGGCTAATTGCACCGAGGAGATTCGGAGGGGCGCCGGCGGTCAACGAAACCTTCACTTCGAATTTTCTGAATCCTAAACCCTACACCCGAGGTCCTAAATCCCACAAAGCAGCCCTAATCGCAAAGCCCTAAGCCTCATAAAGCCTATTCCCTAAGCCCTAAATCCTAAACCTGATAAAGCTTAAACCCCAAGCCCCAAACCCCAAGCCCTAAACCTCATAAAGCTTCGTCCCTACGCCCTAAACCCTAAACCTGATAAAGCTCAAACCCGAAGCCCCAAACCCCAAGCCAACCCTAAGCCCTAAACCCTTAAACCCTGAAACCCTAAACCCTCTAAACCCTAAGCCCTAAGCCAAGGCCAAAGGATACTCTGCTACGAGTCTTTCAGGTCCCCGAGCTCAAAGCGTTCCTCCATGACGTCCACGAGCATACGCCGCCTGGTCTAGCAGCTTCCCGAAAGCGGTAGTTTAGGGTGTAGGGTTTATTTTTAGAGTGTGGGTTGGGGTAGGGTTATGGGTGTAGTAGGGTGTGTCGTCTAGGGTATAGGGTTTCGGGTAGGGTTAGGGTATGGTTACAAGTGTAGGGTTTTGGGTTTATGGCTTCATAAGCCATAAGACTTAGGGTTTCGTGTTCAGGGTCTGGGGTTCGACGCTGGGGACCTGGAAAAAACTAAGCCAAGAGCTCAGGCCAGTTTGTCGCCCTGAAACCCAAAACCTTAAACCTTTACCGTATCTGATACGTCGGGACGTCAGCACTTGGATTCAGGATAGGAGCTACTTCAGGCCGCAGGCATCGCACGAAAACCGCACGCATGTTCGAAACACAATAGACCTTGTACTGAGTCGGCGGGAAGAACCTTCGGGATTTTTAAGCAATCCAGGCATCTTGCTTGGATTCTGGGTCACGAGGATTTCGCTGGGTTGTCCTTAATTCAACAGACTCAGTGCTGAACTTCAGGAGCACCCTGAGCTCGCAGAACTTCGAGTACCAGGTGGGTTGCCTGTAGGGCCACGCGAGGGTGTACATAGGGATGCTACGGTTGATGATATAAACCCTGCATTATCCAGAATAAGGAATATACCATAATTCCCATACTTTAGAGTCCTGAAGGTAATGCAGGATTTATATTATCAACCGTATTTCTTGGACGTAGGGACAATGTTCTACTTGATGACCGTATAGCTATAGTCTGTAATGCTACTCCAGTCTGGAGCGACACAAAGTCTACAGTATACTCTAATTGGCTCCCAGCAGATGCCAGTTTTACTTTCGCACCTAAGACTTGGGGTTTATGGTTCACACTCTCACTCTTACTCTCACCCTCACTCTCACTCACGCTCACTCTCACTCTCTCTCCCTCTCGATGTCTGTCTCTCTCTCGCTCTCTCTCTCTCTCTCTCGCTCCAGCTAGCACAACTGCTCCAAAGCTTTGCCCAAAACACATCTCATGTACGGCCCGAACAGGTCCTTCAAGCATCAACGCGCCCTGAAGTCGAAATCCCAATAGAAAACCTTAGAAAATCGTAGGCCCCGAGCGAAAGGCCAATACCCTACACCCCGAACTGAAGGTGGCCCATGCCACAGAGTGGACCCTGCAGCGCGCGGCCAAGAACACTCTGCGAGAAGCTGTTCGCCACTAGGACTGCACGAAAGCCTCGGTCCAGAGGTGGAGGTTGGGGGTTTTAGGGCTTAGTGCTTTGGGGTTTTGGGTTTAGGGTGTGGGGTTCGGTCTTGGGGCTGGGTGCTGTCGTCGCTACCAGTAGCTTAGTTGTCGCCAACGGATGAGATCGGACGCGGAAACCCGAAGCTCTGAAGCCCGTACTTTTGCACCAGAAACCCTAAAGCCCTGAACTTTGACGCCCCAGAGCCCTAAAGAATTGAGGCCCAAACCCGACGCCCTGTGAAGTAACAAGCACACAGAGCCCCGAAGCTTCAAGCCCCCGACATCTGAAGCCTGAAGCCTACTTGGAGGTTCATGGGTAGTTATAAGGGTTCCTTTAAAGGGATCTATAGGGATTCTATACGGGTATCGGGTTTAGGGCCTATCTTGGAGGTTCATGGGTAGCTGTAAGTGGGGTTATAAGTAGGGTAACTATACTGAGAACTCCTATTAGGGGACTTATAACCCTACTTAGAACTACCCATGAACCTCCAAGTACCCGAAGCTCCCCGGTAGTACCCTTGTGCCCTTCTTGCTTCGGGGTTTTTCTTATCCACAACGAGTTGGTAGGAAGAAGGGCGCCTTAATTATCAAGGGGCTACTGGGGAACCTACCACCTTTCGAGGATTCCTTCTTATGACTTCCCTATACACGGCCCGAAAAAGGTATTGTAAGTATAGTGTAGGGCCTTAGCGGCGAGGATTTCCAATTTGGGGAAGCCCAACTTACTCAAACCCCTAAAACCCTCATGCCCTGAACCCAAAGCCCTCAGCCCTGCGCCGCCCGAAAAGCTGCCAAAAAATCCTGAAGGCCTAAATCCTCAAGCCAGGAAGCTGTCAACCAAGAAGCCTTCAAGCCTTGAACCCTCAGACCAAGGCAGGCTCAACTCTAAGCCCAACCCCAATGCCCCCAGCACCCGAGTTAAATCCTGAACCCTCAAGCGCCCAACTGCCGCCCTCTAAGGATACATCACCGCCGAAAGCGAGGTGAAAAGCTGGGGGACCCAGGATGGCGGCGGCGGGACGAACGGGGTTGGACCTTCTGGTATCATGGGTGCAGGGTCTACTTAAAGGATCATGGGACTTGGTAACTAGGGTTATAGTTAGGGTAACTATACTTATAACTACTTATAACCCCTATTAAGGTACTTATAACCTTACTTACTAGGTCCCATGATCCTCCAAGTAGGCTTTAGGGTTTAGGTTCGGCTTGGGGAACATGGGTACAGCGACTTGTGGGTTTAGCATGTTGCTGAACGTGTAGGGATCTGAGTTCAAGGGTGCAGGAGATGAGAGAACTCCGGAGTTCGGAAGATGGTTGTGAGGGTTCCGGCCTGTAGCAATTTCGGGCTGAGGGTTTAGGATCATACGCCACTGAAGGCCGGTTTCAGCGGCTTTTCATCGGTGGAGATTTCGGGTTTCAGCCGAAGCTTTCAACCTGCAGATACCCAGCAGAAGAAACCCAGAGCTCAAAGCCAGAAAGTGCAAGCCCAAAGCATGGCCTCAGACCTCAAAACTGAAAACTCAGCACCCCTCAATTCCCACCAATCGTCTAGATGGAGCTTAAAGGTGTTCGGTAACCAAACCTTGCACAGCAAACCCAAGCAGCAGGAGCAACAGGAACATGAAGCTACAGCAAGCCCAGGAACATGAAGCTACAGCAAGCCCATAGTCGTGACAAGCATTCCACATTGCAAGGCATATCTTCTGAGCAACATAGGGACCTGACAACTTCGAGCTCCTGACTTTTGTGACTGTCCAGCTGTATTGAACCCCAAATGGACCCTAAACCCTGAACCCCGAACAACCCTGAACCCTAAACCTCAGACCCTAAAAAGAAAAGCATGACCGGCCCGCAGGTGACGAGTGGATCTTCGATCCCTTTGGGTTCATGGGAACCAGCCAAGATTCGAGCCCTAGCTCGGGTTATCCAAGGCCCTCAACAGACGTGATAGGATTTAGGGTTTAAGGTTTTAGGATTTATAAGACTTAAGGGTTCGGGCTTTAGGAGTTTAGGGTTTTTAGGGTTTTGGGGGTTGGGTCTTTAGAGTTTTAAGGTTCAGGGGTCTTGAGTTGCTCCTGCAGGGTTTCTTTTGAGGCACTTAACTCCAGTTATCATCGTAAGGCAAGCATGTGATGTACTGTTATGCCGCAAAAGGTGGATATATCTATGCATGTATGTACGTTACATATTCTAGCTTCTTCTAATTTCGATTCAGTGGAGTCGCAGAAGAAGACTTCAGATTTCAGGGCCGAGCGAATGTCCAGTGCCGATCCTTGGGGTCGGGTTTCGGGTGTAGGGTTGGATCGACGTGGAAGGCGGCCAGGCATAGAGACTTTCTGGTTAGGTTTTGTGGTGTGTGCTTTGAGCTTCTGGTTGATTTTACTGAATACTTGTTAACGAATCTCAGGTTGAGCTACCAAGACCAGGAAACCATGTTGTACATTATAGATCCCCATTATGGTATGTTAGGTTCGGTTCCTACAAGTGCCCAGAGTCGTGTTCAGTGTCTGAGAGCTTTGATCTGAGCGTTGGTCGAGAGTGGTAAGTTCAGGGCTTCGGGTTTGGGTTTAATGTAAAGGCCTTAATAATTAGGATTTTCCATCTTGTGGGTTCCTTATTAGGGTTATAGTATAATATACCCCCAAACCCTGTTCTAATTAGGAAGGCCCTTATGTTAGGGTATAGGGGTTCACGGTTTCCAAGCGTTTTCGGAGTTTGGGTTTCCAGGGACTGTGCAGATTGAGCTGTGCGGACTTCCGACTTCCAATTCCGCTTGCGAAACCCAAAACCACAAACACAAAAACCCGAGCACCCCACGCGGCCCAAAACCCTAAACCCGTAAAGGGAACCCTAGCAGTTTCTGTGCTTTCCTGGCTATAGTATAGTGGGCAACGGATCCCAGCACACGAGGCCTCACAAGATTCAGCGCCAACTGTGCATGCCTTTGCTCATATCCCAAGCACCGTGCATGCCGTCGGCCCAAAATCCGAAGCCCTAAACCTAAAGCGCTACGCTAAACCCTCAACCCTAAAACAAATATGCCTAAGACACATAGGCCTCACTGAGAGTCCATCTACATAGATTCCACGAAGGTTTAACTTGTAGTATCTTATAGTCTACTCGAGTATATTCCTAGTTGCAGTAGATTCTAGTCGTATATGATAGCATATAGTATATCATTCTACACTACAGTACATTATCATCGGACACTGACTACACTCCGTTTCCAGGGCACGAAGAGCGGAGCAGTCTGCTCCACCAGCCGGAGGCCAGGCGCAGGCCCCTTTCTTTGTTGCATGACTGTTACCTACTATAGTTACCTACTCTACCTACTACAGTAGACTATAGTAGGTAGAGTAGGTAACTACTGTAGAGTAGGTAGCCTTTCACCAGTTTTCGGGGATTAAAATCCAACAAAATTCCCGAAGCTTAGCCTTTGGTTCGCTAGAATACTCAGCAAGTCGGCTTAAAGGTTTAGGGTTCAGGGATGCTCCTATGTTGAGTCAGCTCACTCTCCCTGCCATGCTTGGATCGTCATTGTGCTTTAGGTTTAGGGACGACTTGGAGGGTCAGGGGACTTGGTAAGTAAGGTTATAAATACCCTCGTTGGGGTTTCAACTTAATCGTACTCTAGTTACCTTACTTGTAGCCCTACATACTCAGTCCCCTTTTGTTTGAGGCTCAGTGTTTAATCGTTCAGCTTGAGTGTTCGATGGGGATGGCGTGTCTGATCCGACGGAGCAATATAGTCCTGCTGCCCAATTGCTTTTGTGCATACACGGGTGACGAAGTCGTGAGTGTAGTATTGAAAAGAAGAGATACCTTTGAAGCCGAATGAGCAAGATGCTTGCACATGCCGGAGCACTCAGCCTGGACGACCGGTTGGGCTTTATACCCACCGCTACCTCGAAGATCCTAAACCCCAAACCCTGCCAGTTCGTGTGATCATACGGAATCTGTCGGTCGACTCACGCCGCTCGTACATAAAAGTCCTTCCAGCCTTTTCCAGGTATGGTCGAAGACAACACGGCCAAGACCACCTTTCAGTTACACCTCTGGAAAAATATATACACACACATCACACGCAAAAATGTCACCACGGGGGTGGGATACTCAGCCCTGAAATTTCGAGGGCAGTTCTCGTTGCACCGCGTATGCCGAGGTCTCTTCTG